TACAAATTGCTAATGTGCCATGTGTGTCAACTGTTACTTTTACCCAATTGGTATGTTATACATCAGGTTTTCTTGTTTTCTTAAAATTCATCTGGGATAGTTTTTTAAATTCTTATGAAAATAAAGGTATCCTTTTAGATATGAATTTGTTTTATTTTTCAGCACTAAGTTGAAAGCATTTATTTTTGTCGAGAGCATTGCAGCAGGTCTTTTCTGTTTGCCCTGTGCTTCACCTGCTGGTACTGCATTCCTGAAGTCTCCCCAGCTGCAAGATGCAAATTTATTACACTGTGGCCTCCTCTTTGCTTCTGGATCACCAAGGTCTAAATGGGCTTTTGGACCAACTCCCTGTTTGCTTGCATAGCCTTGTGTTATGTGGTTGCCCCCTCTTTTTTTCTCTACTCATGCCCCACCAACTTCTCTCAGCATTCTCAGAAAGTAATTGGGTCTGATCTTATTTGAAGAACTGAGAACTCTCTCTTCTATGATCTTTCCTGGTTTTTCTAGAGGAGCCTCTCTCCTCTCCGTCTTGGGTTTCAGGCTTCTTTTCTTTCATCTCTCTCTTTTCTCTCTCTCTCATCTTTTGCATTGCTGGGGACTGAACCCAGGTTCTGTGCATGCTAGGCAAGTGCTGTACCAGCTGAGTTTTGCCCTCAGGACAGAGCTACTCTTCTTTACCTGTGCTTGGTTTCTACCTCACACCTGCTGATGGATTCTTTATCGTTTATCTGTTTTCTCTGCCTGTAATCTTTAAACTCTCTTTCCTTCAGTAGGTCTTGCTTACTACCACTTTCCCCCCGAACACACTACCACCACCTGGCAGAAGAAGTTGCAAATCAATTTTTATTTTCTAAGGTACAAAAAATAAACTAGAGCCATATTCTTCCTGGCTTTGTTTTTCAGCTTCTTGTTCCCTCAACAATTCATCTTACAATAGTCACTCTGCTCTAGAATCACTTGTCTCAATTTTGCTTTGCCCTCATTTCCCCTAAGCGTCTTGCCTGCTGCTGCTACCTTAGGGAGACGGCTCAGTGAGGCAGCCGTCAACCTCTTCGTGTCAGTTCCTCCCTGGGTTTCTGATTCAACATCCTTTGTCCTTTGAACTGTTTACTATTACTTTCCTGAAACATTCTCTTTCCTGGCCTTCTGTGATAGCATGTTGGTTTCTTCTTGTCCTCGTTTTAGTCATTCATTTTAGTCATTTCCTGAGGCTTTTGCTCTTTTCTTTCCCTTATCACTATTCCCCAGTAGCTGCTGTTGTCACCAATCTTGTCTACACGTGCACTCCTTTCAGATCTTTCTCCAAATACTTGCTGTGTGATTTATGTTGCCTACAATTTCCAAGTACAGTGATTTCAGCTTCAGATTTTGTTTTTCATTTTGGACCTACAATTGGACCTCTGTGCTCACATATTTCATAGGCTTCTCAGCAGAATTGTGTTCAATGCAGAGTGAACTTTCACTTTGATGAACTTTTACTTCTCCTCTGGCTTGGAGGAGAATCCAGCCCATCATTCTAGACTCCTCCTCCTTACTTAGACTCCTCATCTGGTTTGACCAAATTTCCTAAATACTGTCTCCTAATTATCTATTCTCCTAATTATTTTTGTTCTCCTATATGTCTTCAGTTACACTGCCATTGTTTACACTGCTCTTCATTGTTTTCTGCCAGTTACACAGTGAGCATTCAATAAATATTAACTCATTGTGAATGAACACATGAACTAACTAATGATCAGATGCATAAATTAGTACATTTCTGTCTGGATTTCTCTAACGTTAAGAGCGGCATTTCTCTTGGCTGGTCTCTCTACATTCAGTCCAGTCCATTTCTGATTCATCATTCACATTAATTCTTGTTTCAGGAAATACTGAATACTCTTTCCAAAGTGAAAATATATTCATGACATGCGCCTATATATAATTTCAGTTGTATCATGTTTCAGGATAAACTGTGAAAAAATTGCTTAGATCCTCATGCGGCTCCTCCCTTCTTCTCAAGCCATGTTTTCATCACTTCACATCTTTTCAGTCTTGGGTATCTAAACTGTTCTTTTATTGTGCCTCTCTGTCTTCCATGCTGTTCTTCCCTTAATTGTCTTCTTCACTTAAGCAATACCCACTAGTTCTTTAGGGTCCATTTCAAGTGTCTCCCCCTCTGAGAACCTCTGTGACACACACAGGTTGGGCTAATATTCTTTGTGGATCTCAGTTAGACATAGCACTTACCTCTCCCTCTGTCAACCACTGAGCTACATCTTGCCTTTCCCTTTGAGTCAGTGACCTTCTTGAAGGCAGAGACTTCAGCTTATTCGTTTTGTGTTTCTAACACCTGAAATGGTGTTACATTCATAGGAGTTCCTCAGTAAACAATTGTTCGTCTAGGAACAGGAGAGTAAGATGTAGTGTGAGAGATTAGGAGATGATGATTTTTTCATCAGTCACACAATATGTCAACTCATAAATCTGATCAGGGAGCAGGGGACAAATGGCAGTCTGATGAGCATCTAGAGGAAAATTATTCTTTAAAAAAAAAACTGGTAAGTCTAAATATTTGAATTGAACCAAAGAAAGTGTTTGTACCAGAGTTATTTAATTAGCAAATATTTATCAAATGCCTCTGTAAGGGAGGCTATGAAAGGATAGGTTCTGAACAGGAAAATTCAGGGAAGAGGCATCCTTTTTGGAAGCAGAGCATAGTGAAAGTAAGATTAATTTGGTGTTGTCACTACTAGCTGTGTTATTTTTTCCTCTGCCTATTAATGTAAGGTGAGCATTAAATGGAGAAGTATATATAAAACTTTGCTTTAAGGTGCAGTACTTTAAGAGGTTCATATCTTAATATATCTTTATCTTCAGTATTTTTTTGCTATTCCATTCCTTTGGAATAGTTTGATGCTGAATGTATTTGATGAAGTTCTCTACTGCTTTTGCAGGAAATAAAATAATATGTTACTGATACTGGAATTTTATAAATGTGGTTATAAGAATTATATATTGTAAGCTTTTACTTTATATGAACAATGTATAATAATGACTTACTGTCACTTCTGAATTTTAGGTTGACTGTGCATTGTCACTTATTCGACTTGGAATGGAGCGGCATATTCCTGGTTTGCTGGTTCTGTGTGATGATTTGGTGACTCTGGAGACATTGGTCTATGAAGCCGGATGTGACTTAACCCTAACCTTGAAAGAACTCCAGCAGATGAAAGACATTGAAAAACTAAGATTATTGATGAACTGTGTAGGTTTAGTTTTAATTTTCTTTTTATGTGCTCTCTGTGTACTTTGATTAGTATGGGTCTCAAACCAAAGATGAAAGGTCCCCCAAGCTTGAGAATGTAATAAAGGACGGTTTCTTGACTTTTCTCAAAATCAAATGCTGTGGATGAATTACTGAAGGAATCCAAAACTGCTTTGGCTGCTTTTGTATCTTGCTTGTTCTTTGTCCCTCACTCTTTCTCTCCTGTCCTCTTTCTCTTGTACTTTTTTTCCCTCCCTTTCTTCTGTCTCCCTCTCATCATTTGTCCCTTCTTCTCTATCTTCCTTTTTTCTCTTTGGCCTAACTTCTCTCATTAGTTTCTTTTCCCTATAGTCTTCCTGATGAAACTTACTTTGTGCTATATGTATGACTCCTCTTAAGAAATTTGGGTGTATCTCCTGGGGTGAGTAAATGAAGCTATTGTGTAATTTTAGGGACAATGAATAAAATTACCAGTGTCATGTGGACTTTCATGAAGGTGGATATAAAGGGGAAAATAGAATAAAGAGGAAGACAAAAGGGATGGCACAGATTCTGGACTATTATAGAAGAGATTCTACTTCTAAGTGGTTCATTTTCTATAGCGTCTTTGTTCATCTTTCTGTCCCTGTGGGTTTTGTTTTGTTTTTTTTCCTTTTTCACTCATTCTGTTGCTCTAAAGTCTCTCTCTCTCTCTCTCTCTCTCTTTCTCTGCCTTTCACACATTCTTTTTGACCTTCTGTCTGTGTGTAGATCCTCTCTTTGGTCTGGAGGACCTCATGACTGAGAAGCAGCACTAGCATTTGTCTTCAGAGCTGGGCCTAGGCCATTGGGCACCCACATGGGCCCGGGTGGTGGTGTTGTTATAGCCATACAAACCCCCAGTAGAAGGTGGCACAGTCTCCTGCTACTTGTCAGTCCACACGTGAAGGGTGACCTGCAGTGTCTATTTTAGAAGATGTGGGGCTTCTACTGGTTTACATCAGTCTGATTGTCCATACTTGTTTTTTTGGCTAATTATACTTTCAGTGTTCTGAGGACAAATATGTGACAAGTGCCTACCAATGGATGGTTCCTTTTCTTCATCGTTGTGAGAAACAGTCTCCTGGTGTGGCTAAGGAACTATTAAAAGAATACCTGGTAACTTTAGCTAAAGGGGACTTAAAATTTCCCCTGAAGATATTTCAGCATTCCAAACCAGATGTAAGTAGAAACTGTTAACTTCTTAAAATTCTTTACACTTTTTTTTTTCTATAGAATTAAGTTAAGTTTTATTTATAAATTTTTATTATAGGCTTTATAAGTAATTTTCCTTTAAACAGAAAAAATGGTTGTCATTTTGTTCTTTAAAAAATTTTCAACATTGTAGTCCAACATTTTTTCAAAAGTTTATAAAATAATTTTTATTTTGATTCATTCATTCCAGAAATTGCCAATGTCAAGAAGAATAGTTGATAGGTAGTTCAAGCAAAGGGCTTCTTTCAATCTTAAATTTTGATTGATTCTGTTTCCTTGTACTCACCTTTGTTGGTAATGTGAACTCCAGTAAAATATATGGTTAGAGAGTGATATAATCAAAATAGAAAGGAAAGCATTGTTAAATCTTAGACATTTTTTGGTTTCTAAAAGGGTCATATATCAGAAGTTTATCTGCTCCTTGATTATTTAAATTTTGCAGGTTTATTAACTGGTTTTGCACTTAGTATCTGCTTTTAAGTTTGGTGTAGTTTGCTATGAGCCTAGGTGAATTGCTTATGGCAGCAGAATACTGTGTGAGAAGCAGTGTGGATTGAATATGAATGTTTTATGAGGAAGAAAGAAGAGACTTTAAATTCTAGTAATCTTGTTTGTGATACTTCTTTACAGAATCTTGTAAATCTTTTGTATGTAGTCAGCTTTTTGTTGTTTTTACTTGGTAATTTAGCATGTGTGTGCTTTTGAATAAAACATATAACCATTTGCGTTTCTTGAAATTTGTGAACATCAAACAGAGAACAGTGATATTGTTAGGTAGTTCTGTTCAGCAAAACCTTCCTGTTTCTCTCAGTGTTGCCACCTGGTGACACAAATTTGATCACTTCATAGTCTACGGAAAATTTTGCATTGGCTTGCCACTGCCTGCTGTTCAACATTGGTTGATCTAGAATGGCTTACGGTCTTTGCTTCCATTCGGCCTCCTCAGCCTTGCTTCTCTCTGTGAGCACAGTAGGCCTTTCTTGGTAGCTCTTTACCCTATCACACATGTTCTTAGCAATCTGTGTTTTGTAGGCTATTTCCTTTGTTTAAAATGAATTCCCTTCCCCCCACCATTCACTTCACAAATAACCAAGTCTTACCCTTTTAGATTCTCTCTACTGTGAAATCTTCCATGACTTATCTGTGCTAAGACAGGTTCTTGTACCTGCCTCTATTATAGCTCTTATCACACTGTGTTGGAATTATTTGTTCATGTTTATCTCCTTTCCTTCACATATTATATTTCATTATCAGGGAATAGAACAATGCCTCATACAGAACAACTATGCAATGTGTTTTGGCACAGCAAACGAATGAGTGACTGAAACTAGGTTTCATTGTGGTACGTTAGATCACTTGATTGCATTTATGTGCTTTACTAGGCTTGTGTTGGGAGCATTGTTTTATTTTGCTTGATTGTTTACAAAAAGAATGTACCTTAGATCTGCTGTGAATCACGTACAGAATATTTTAATAATGTAACAGGAGCACTGATGTCTGTTTCAGACAGCTTAAACTACGTTATACTGCAGTAACAAATGATCTTTAAGTCTTAGCAGCTTACAACAGCAAACACTAATTTCTTATAAGTTTTGTGTCTACTGAGGTTGGGCTTCTGCTGTGTTCCATGTCTCATTTGTTTGGAGAGGTAGAAAAGGACCTTTTCTATCCTGTGGCTCAGGAAAAGAACAATAGGACCCCTCAGAGCCGTTTAAATCTTAGTTCAAAAGTGATTCAAGTTACTTCCTCACATTTCATAGGTTGGAGAAAGTCTCATGGGCAAGCCTGATGTAAAAGGGACAGGGAAGAACAATCCTCTTGTCGAAAAGGAGAGGTGTACAATTGACCAGAATCACAATGTTAAATAATCAGATCTTGAAACTTATCCATTTGCTACCATTGCATTTGCTTGCACATTTCTTTTAAACGCTTTTATGTGCCTCATACTTTTTTCTGTTTTGTAATATCCAAAAGTGCTCTTCTCTGATTTCAAGCTATTTTTTTTAACTTGAATTCCACTTTGGAAAGGGAAACTGGTACAGTTACTTAGACAGTCTCTGTACAGACGCGACTTGAGGACACAATCTCCTGCTTTCCTGTATTTTTCCGTCTTCTAAACTAGTAAGTCTTGAATGTATCTGTGCATCAGAACTGTGTACGCTTTTTTAAAAAATATAGACCTTTCTATGCCCAATCCAGGTGTAATTGATTAGATATTGATGGGTAGGGTCTTGGATATGTCTCTGACCATTCATCCAGCGATGATGATGCAAAGTCAGGGCTGGGAAAACCTGCTTTAAATGTCCATTTCTTATTTTAACAAACAGGAATTTAATACTTAGCAGAGCTTTGTTAGGTGCCATCTTTTAAATTCATTTCTTTAAAAATATTATATTATTATTGTACTGGGGTACATTGTGACATTTACAAAAATTCTTACAATATATCATAGTTGAATCACTCCTCCATCTTTCTCCTTTATCCTTACTCTCCTTAAATTCATTTCTGACTGAGTGGACAATTTAGTTTTAAAATGATCTTTTCTTACTGGTGTGGTGGTACATGTCTGTAATCTCAGCTGTATGATACATAGAGGTAGGAAGGTTACTGTGCTCTGAGGTAGATCCTGGACATTTTGATTGCTGAATCATGCTGCAGTGTTATAATTTTTCCAGTTTTTATTCTACTGTTGATCATTCCAGTTGTTTCAAACTGTAATCCATTTTTAATAATACCAGAGCAAATATTCTTTATGTGTTTCTGGTGAATATATATACTACACATATGTCTAAGAGTGGAACTTCAGTATCCACGCATGTTTTTGGTCAATGTTGATAGAGAATGCCAACACGTTTTCTACACTTGTTCACGTCAGCAGTGAATAGTATATAAGTTTTATTCTGTATTCATGCCAACGTCTTAACTTGGTATTGTGAGCATTTAAAATTTTACCCGTTCCACTGTGCACATAACGATGTCTTCTTGTGGTTTGTTTATTTTTATTTTGCTTTCTTTGAGACAAAGTCTGGCTATGTAGCCCAGGTTAGCCTCAAACTTTCAATCTTCCTGCCTCTGCCTCCTGAGTGGCGGGATTGCAGTTGTGCTCCACCATGCCTGCCTCTCCTGTGGTTTTGTTTTGCAGTTCCATGATAATGGAAATTAACCCTTTGCTAGTTGCACATTTTGTAAATAATTTATTCTCTTCTTGCCATTTTATTCTCTTAGGGATGAAGACTACTTTAATCTGAGGATGGGTTGAATTATTTCAGGCTTCAAAAAGTCTGTCCTGTTTCCAGTTCTCCCTTATTGCTAGGGTGTCCTTCAGGGCTCTGAATTGGAAGTATTGGACACTTACTAGGCCCTTTTCCTTGTCAAGTCCTGGACTTCTGTCCCTGCAAGGTGTGTCTGCTGAAAGTATACTGAACACCTTCAACTCTTAGCTGTAATTTTCTTTTGGCCTTCTCTTGGTTCACATTCCTTAGGATTTGAAAAGTACCTGTAGAGCTGTGGTATTTAATGGGGTTTCCACCAGTTACCTGGTCATATGAATATAAATCTGAAAAAATATTTTACTCAGTCTCACTAGCTTCCCATGTGTGGCCATGTGTATTACTCTAAATGTTTTGTAATTATAAACAATGCCACAATGAATAATCTTGTATTATTGATGTGTCTTTAGGGTAAATTCCTTGAAGGAGACTTCTGTATCTAAAGGCAAGGGTTGTGCTGATATTGTCAAATTTCTCTTAGGAAGGCATGATCCAGTTTGCACTCCCATCAATCAAGAATGAAAATGCCTGTTTCACTACAACTTTACAGACAGAATTTGTTATCATATTTTAAAATTCTTGCCAAAGGGAAGTGAACTGAACAGACACTTTAAAAAAAAAGAAGTACAAATGGTCAATAAATATATGAAAAAAATGTTCAACATTTTTGCATTTCCTTCAGAGAAATGCAAATCAAAACTACATTGAAATTACATCACACCCAATCAGAATGGCTGTCATCACGAAAAGAAGAAAAAAACAAAACAAAACAATTCAGAACTGCCATCTGATCTTGCTGTACCACTCCTGGCTATCTACCCAAAGGAATATGCAGTAAAGGAGTTTACACACCCATGTTTACAGCAGTACTAACCTAGTAGCCAAAGTATGGAGTCATCCTAGGTGCCCATCAATGAGTGGATAAAAAATATGTGGTATAAATACACAAAAGAGTAATATTCAGCCACAAAGAAGAATTAAATTATGTTGTTTGCAGGAAATCATAGGGAATTAGATAGAATTCATCGTGTGAAAGAGAATAAGCCAGACTCACAGAGACAAATGCTGCATGTTTCTCTCATGTGGAACGTAGAAGAGAAAAAAGACACAAAAATAGAGGAGGGTGGGGATCGAGATGAGGGGGTGAGAGAAGAGAATGAGTGGGGTGAGTGTGATCAATATATGTAAAATGCATATGTGAAAATGTCACAGGGAAACCCTTTATTTTTGCACAATTTTATGATCATCAAAAAGAAAAAAATGGAATAAAGTTTCCTTTGGGGAAGTGCAAAAAATTTTGCTAGGGTAAAATAAGTGTTGTTTTAGTTTAATTCCTTTTATTCTGAATGAGTTTGAACATTTTGTCTTTTTAAAAATTGTTTATTCTTGTCTTTCCCTCAGTTTTTCACTGGTTTTTTCTTTTATGCTTTAGTTCTTAGAAAGTCTAAATTTTAGTGTAATTTAGCTTTTGTTTGTGGTGTATATTATGACTGTTTCTCTCATTTGGTCAGTTGGTTTTTGACTTTATTATGCATAGTGTCATGTAAAGTTTTTATTTTAAATTTTTCTGTAGTTAGATTGATTGGTCTTTTCTTTGATTGTCTTTGTATTTCGAGTCATAGGTGGAAAGTATTTTCTTAACCAAAAGTTAAAGTAGAATTCATTTGTGTTTTCTCCTGTAATTGTACAGTGTTATCTTTATACTTAGATTCCTAATTTATTACTGTGAGATGTGGATATAATTTTATGTTTTCCCAAATGTCCACCGAACTGTCCCAGCATTATTTGTTACAATGCTTATCTCTACCCTTGTCACCTGAGGTGCCTGCTCCTTGTCATACTGACATTTTCATTTCTATGTGGCTCTAACTCTGGAATTCCTTTGTATCTGTAGTATTCTGCTGGTCTGTTTATCCATGCACTGGTACCATATTATTTTAGTTATAGAAACTTTATAGCATGTTTGAATATATGTTAGGATAATGTTCCTTTGTAGCTTTCTTTTCCCCACTTTTTTTTTAAGTTGTTCTATGGTTTTTTATCTGAAAACCAGTTTGTCTAATTTCATAAAGTAGCTTATTTGCATTTTTATTGTGACTGCACTGAATTTATAAATTAGGCTAATATCTTTATAATGTTCACTTATCCTTTCCAAGAATAGGAGAAATTGTTCAGTTTGTTTAGTCTTTTAAAATTAGGAATATTTAAAAATTTTCTTCTTACAGGTTTTGCATATTTCTTGATGAGTTAATACTTATTTTTAGGTTTGTTTCCATTATAAATGGAGCTTTCTGTAGCTTCACTTCCTCTATTTATTGTTCATGTATATGAAAGTTGTTGATTTTGTATGTTTATTTTGTATTCTGCTACTTCACCGATTTCTTTTATTTCTTGATTCTCTGGTGTTTTCCAGGTATCTTCTTTTATCATCTGTTGTTTTTTCTTTTTGCTTGTAGTGTGTTAGGACTTCATTATGATTCTCTTGCATTTTACTGATACACAGTATAGATGTTGACCTACTGACATGGTATAAAAATCTCATTTCACTAACTCCTTAGATTGTCCTATTTGGGCTTTCTTTTGGTTTGGGACAAATGGTGGTTTAATAGTGACCATTGAGATACTAGGGAGGGAATGATGAACAGAAGAAAAAGTATGTTTTAGACTACATAGTTAGACATCATGCAAGGAGTCAAATAGGAAAGAATGAAAATGTCTTACAAATCTGAGTATTATGATTCAAGCATGCTATTGATTATATAAGAAAGATATGCTGCATGGCATGAAAAGAGAACATGAAAGTACCATAGAAGTCACAGAGAGAAAAAGGTGGCTGTGTGCAAGAGTAGTAAAAGGATTTATTTATTGGCCTGGCAGGTGTGGAGGCTATGCTAGAGATCATTAGAATCTGGGAAGGTTCAGTTTAAATCAAGATTTAATTCTTGAGATGACATCTCAGGTAAAAGTAGAATAAGACCAGGAGACATAACTTAGTTTACATGTTAGGGTGAAAGTATTAACCAACGGTGGATTCGGCTAACCTTGGATAAGAACACTTGAAAACAATTTGTGTCTGTACTAAATGCAGGAAGACCATTTTCTAGTTTTTATTTCCTAAGCAATATAGTGTAATAGCTATTCCATAGCAGTTACATTGTATTAGGTATAAGTAATCTAGAGATGAAATGAAGTATATAGCAGGGTATGTATAACTCATATACAAATACTATGGCATTTTATACTATAGCTTCTGCAGATTTTATCTGCAGGATCCTGGAACCAATTTACCATAGATAGAAGTAGTAACTGTAATTTAATTTGGGCAAAGTAAAACTTGTGCTGGAAAAGTCATTCATGGAACAAGAAAAGTGAGGTGAGTGGGGCATGGTGCTACATACCTCTAGACCCAGTTAGTTGAGAGGCTGAATCAAGAGGGTCACTTGAATGTAAGAGTTTGGGTCCAAACTATACAGCATAGCAAGTCCCTGACTCAAAAAAAAAGAGTGGGTTGGCAACAGGCCATGATGAGTTTGAGCAAAAGGCAAAGGTTTATTCTTTGCCTTTCACATTGAAGGACTATTAAAGGATTTTCAGTATAAAGTTTAAACTCTAGGACATTTAAGTTAAAAGTGGCTCTTTAATGTCTTGGACAGAAAGGTAGGAAGCGGGAGGATCAAATAAGACATCAAAGACTTTGGCTTCTGTTTCAGATAGGTTCCCAAACTGTCCTTGCCTGAAACTAGTTTCTGTGGTCTCATCTTCCTGAGTGTTTACTTGCCTTGTTTTCCTTCTGTCCCTTCCAGTTCCAGGATTGTGGGAGGCTGTGTTGCTTGGTTCAGGCTCTGCAGCCAGTGATCAGGATTTGAATCCTGACCTTACCATTTACTAACTTCACCATCTTGAGCAACTCATCTGACCTCTCAGTGCTTCAATTTTCCTTTTATATAAAATGGGAATAATTCTAGAAGTAATGTTATAAATTAATGCATATAAAAACACTGAGAATTGTCACCCTACACAAAATGAAAAATCAGGGAGTGTTAACTGTTTTTTTTCGTGTCTCCTACTAGTTATTTTTATGTGCCCTCTTTATCCTAATTTATCAGTTAGTCACGTTGCAACCTTCGATAACCCTTTGTCACATGTTAGTGACAAATCAGTGGTGTTATTTTTTTCTTAATGCCTTAAAAACATATATACAAATCCTTTAATTCAGCTGCTTTAGAAAACTATTGTCCTGGTAACCTTGAATGTTTTTTATTTATATCCATTAGCATGATTTTTCTACTAAGAAAACACCTTTATCTGGCAGCTTCTCTCCATCACTTTCCTATCTCTTTTGTGAATAGTGCTGAGTGTCTATTAAAATGGTGTAATCTAGTAGGTCATTATTATAGAAATTATCTTACACTTACTTTGCTGCCAAAAGGAACTCTAAGAAATTAGTTTCAGGGTTCTGTTGTGGTGTCTGTAGCAATAATAGTGTAAGTATTTTGCATATATTAATTCATTTAATCCTCACAGACTTTCACTTTGATTTTCATATTGGTAATACTGTAAGCATTCCACACGTATTAATTTGTTTAATACTCACAATAACCCTCTTAGGAAGGCATTGTTAATATCTTGGTCTTGTAGATTAGAAAAACAAGGCACCAATGGGCTATTTTTGTATCTTAGAAAATACTGTAAGAACAGGAATCTGTGGTTTGCAATGAGAATGAGAATGAGTATTCTATGCAGACAGTGGCCCAAAGTAGCCATATTTCTTCATCAGAAATAATATGTTCTGTGGTTTATGTATTATTGCACTAAAATTGGACTTATTTTGAACAGTAAGTTAGTACTGTATAGTTAAATGAGTAATACATATATTTGTGTGTGTATATATATATATATATATATACACACACACACACACACACAAAATGCTTACTGGAAAAATAGTAGGTTTTAACAATTTTGAATATTAGTTAAGGAATTTTATGTATTTTGTAATTGAAACTCAGAATTTGGCTGTATGGTTAGAAATGTTGTTTTTAATAAATTGCTGTTTAAATTCACTGTGATTTTCTTACCTTCTTTATCTTCAATAAATTGAAGAGTCTGTTTTTAGCAGATGCAAATCTTATGGGTTACAAATTATTTTTTCTGGTTGATTCTCTAATTTAAATGTGGTTTCATTTAGAATTATAAAATACCCAAAAAGTCTGTAAGCCAAAGAAAAATCAAGGTTTGTTTCTGTGGATGATTAATTGCACTGTTTAATATTCTGTTGGCAGTGGTACTGGGATATGGACAAACTTTCTATAAGTCTATTGACATTTAGTACAACATGCTTTGCTTTCTCTAGCTGCAGCAAAAAATTATTCCTGATCAGGACCAACTGATGGCAATAGCACTAGAGAGCATCTATACTTGTGAACGAAGTGACCAGCTCCCTCTCTGCTATGACATCTTAGAATGTTTGCCACAAAGGGGATATGGGTAAGAATACACAGTATGTCTATCTCACCTCATCTTCTTCTTCTAACAGTAAATGCGGAAATACTGCTTCTCCAAATATTTACTGATAGACAAATTGGGGTGTGCAGCTTGGTGACACAGCATTGTCTAGGATGAAGTTTTGGATTTGATCCCTACAACAAACAAATAATAATCAAACCAAAAACCACTATACATACAAAATAAAATTTTCTGCAGTCCTGTTGCCTAGAGATAAACTTAACATTTTTTTCTTAGTGTACATTAATATTCAAGGGAGGTTAATTGTGGTATTGCCATGCGGCATTATGTACAGTATAACTGGACACCTTCATCTTGTTCCTGACGTTGGAAGAGATGATTTCTGTCCCTCCCCATTTAGTAAGATGTTGGCTATGTATAGCTCTTGTTATGTTGAGATGCACTGCTTCTGCTTTCTTCCGAGCTCTGGTCATGTAAGAGTGTTGAGTTTTGCTATAGGCATTTCCTGTGTCTATTGACTAGTCATGTGCTTTCTCCCTGATTCTGTTTATGTGCTTGATATATTATGTCTATTGATTTGCTTATGTTGAGTCATCCTTGCATCTATGGAATGAAGCTGACTTGATCATGGTTTATGGTCTTTCAACTTTGGTTTACAAGTATTTTATTAAAGAATGTTTGCATCCATGCTCATCGAGGAAAGTGTTCTATATCTTTCTTGTTTTTTGTTGTGTCCTTAATGTGTTTTAGTATCAGAGTAACACTGGCTTCATAGAATTAGTTTGGTAGTGTTCCTTCCCTCTCTATTTTACAGTATAGTTTGAGGTGCATTGCTGTTAGTTCTTTAAAGTTGTGATAGAATGCTGCAGTAAATCCATTGGGTCCTGGGCTCTCCTTTTTGGAGAGATACTTTATTACTGCTTCAATCTCATTGTTTGGAATTTATTTAAATGTTGTAAATGGCTTATATTAGGTAGATCAAATGCATACAGAAAGTTATCCATTTTTTCTAGAGTTTCCAGTTTATTAGAATATAACTTTTTCAGTTATTCCCTAGTAACCCTCTGGATTTCATTGGTATTTGTTGTGCTATTCCTACTTACATCTCTACTTTTATTAATTTTAGTCTTTTCCTTCTTTTGGTTAGTTTGACTAAAGGTTCATTAATCTTATTTGTTTTCTTGTCACTTTGCATTGTTTTTTAGTTTTCATTTCTTTAATTTCTGCCTTAATCTTTATAATTTCTTTCCACTTACTAATTTTGAGTTTGACTTGTTCTTGTTTTTCTAGGAACTTGAGATGCATCACTATTTATTTGAGATCTCTCAGCTTTTTCTTTTTTCTCTTGATGTAGGTACTCATAGCTATAACCTTCCCTTTGTTGATCTGAGAAATTTGAATAAGTTATGTTTTTATGTTCCTTATATCCTAGGAATTTTTGATTTCCATCTCTGTGATTACCACTGGTCATTCAACAGCGTATTGTTCAGTCTCCATGTGTTTGAATATTTTCTATGGATATTTTTGTTATTGATGTCTACTTTTATTTCACTGTGTCTGATAGAATATAGGGGGTCATTTCAATTTTCTTATATTAAGATCTATTTTGGAGGGTTGGAAGCATGGATCAAGTGTTGGAGTCCCTGTCTAATGTGCACAGCCCTGAGTTCAAACTCATTACTGGAAAAAAGATGTATTTTGGAGAAAATACTGTGGGTTGCTGAGAACAAGGTGTATTGTGCAATTGCTTGGTAAAATACTCTGTAGGTATTTGTTAAGTCCATTTGGTGTTTTGGTCATAGTATCATTTAATTTTGAAGTTTCTTTGTTGACTTTTTTTGTCTGGATGATGTATTTATTGGTAAAACTGTGGTATTGAAGTACCTACTGTTATGTTGGTGTCCATCTGTGCTTGTAAGTCCAGTATTGTTTGCGTAATGAAATTGAATGTTCCAGTGTTGGGTTGTATATGTTAACTATTGTTTATCTCCTCCTGATGGACTGTTCCCTTTATTAATATGAAGTGACTTTCTTTGTCTCTTTTGACTAATTTTTGTTTGGTGTTTGTTTTTATCTTATATGAATATAGTTCTCCTGCCTGCTTTCAGAGTCCATTTGCTTGGAAAATCTTTTTTCCATCATTTCACCCTAAGCCAATGTTTGTCTTTGTCAGTAAGATTCCTTTCTTATAAGCAACAAATGGTCAGGTTTTGCTTTTTAATCCAACCTGGCATTGTGTGTCTTTGATTGGAGAATTAAGATGACTAATATCCAGTGTTAATATTGAAAGGTGTATAGTATTTCCTGTCATTTTGTTGTGTTTGTGATTTTTGTTTCTTTCCTAATACTCATCTACTAATCTACTTATCTAATTGGATTCTCTCCCGCATTTTCCTTGTGTTTATTGTCCTCTTTTTTGAGTAGGATTGCTCTAAGTATCTTCTGCAGTGCTGTTTAGTGGTCATGAATTCCTTTAGTTTTGTATATCATGGAAAGTTTCTGTTTCTTCTTTAATTATGAAGGATAGCTTTGCTGGATATGTTAATCTAGATAGACAGTTATTTTCTTTCAGGGCTTAGAATATATCATTTAATGTCCTTCTTGGTTTTAGAGTTCAGAAATCTACCTCTATATGTGACTTGTCACTTCTTTCTTGCAGCTTTTCAGTGTGCTTTCTCTGTTCCATATAGTTAATGTTTTAACTGTAGTATGTCTAATGGTATCTCTTTTCTGTTCTTCAAGGTTTTATGTTCTGAAATTCTCCTGTATCTGGATTACCTGTTCTTTCCCAAGATTGGGGAAGTTTTCTGGTATTATCTGATTAAACATGTTATCCATGCATTTAGTTTGTACTTCTTCTATAGCCATAATTCGTAGGTTTGGTCTTTTGATGGTATACCAGAGTTCTTGCATGTTCTGTTTGTATTTTCTTTTCTTTGTCTTATTGATCTAGTCTTTAATCCTTGACACTTTGTTTTCAACTTGTTCCATTCTATTAGCAAAGTTTTCAGATGAGCTTTTTATTTGGTTTATTGATTTTTTTCATTCCCAGGATTTTCGTTTTAGATTTCTTTTTCTTCTTTTTTTTAGTCAAGTTCCTCTTTCACATCCTGCACTATCTTCCTTTTTTGAATTCTCTTTGAATTTATTCAGGTGTTTGTGTCCTCTTTGAATTCATTGAGGTCTTTAATTTGTTGATTATTCTTATCATTGTTTTTTTGAGTTCAGAAGTAGTCTCAATATTTAGGCAGGACAGGACAGTGTAGTAGCTTGGTTCAGGTGCTGTTTCTTACCACTGGCTTGGGGGTTGTAGCTCTGAAGCCAAGCATTTGCCCATGTACTCAGATCACCAGACTTGATCCCTAGCACACTTGTGATCAAGGCTAACTAGCTGGAGTTTCTTATACAAGGGTCAGTTGTCCCTTGCTGGGCTCCTCTCATTATAGAAGCTCCCCTCTTTTTGTGTACTGGGAGCTGCAGGGAGCTTTACAACCTGTGGGCTGGGCAGGTTCCCATTTCCTCCACATTCCCCTCACAGTTTGTGTCCTCAGGCAGTAAGTGTCCAAGCCTTGGTGTCAACCCCAAATGTGTCAGATAGTCAGGAGAGCAAACAGAACAATGAGTTCTGCCTTGGCTGGGGAAGAACTGAGGGATGTAATAGCTTTGCCTGCTGTTCTCAATGCTTTCTGATCCCATACAGTAGTTCACCTCCCTGGGGGAAGGAGGAGACTGTGGAAGTTTTGTGATTGAGAAGATCTGGACTCTGGACCTTTATTCCTGACTGTCAGCTTTTAAGCTCAGTTCAATAATTCAACTCCTGTTGAGGGGAGGAGTCTATGGTTATCATGTGACTTAGAGGGTCTGAACTCAGTGCTCTCATCCCTCTAGCAGTCAGGGATAAGACTTCCAGGGAGGGAAGGCCCTGGAGGCTGAATATTAAGTCATTCTCATGCTCAGTGCTTTGATGGTACTCCCTCTTCACTCTGTTTCCTTCACTCTGAGCCACTGTCTCCTGTAGTCCCTTTATAGCCATCTTGGAATTCCAGGAAGAATACTGATGACAGGAGACAAACCCAGTAGCAATGGTTCTTTTTGTAAGAAGGCCCCCATCTGATCAATCCTGAGACAATGAGCTGTCACTTCTGACCATCTGAACACACCTGTGACTGCGACTACTTGATAATTATGCGTACCTTTCTCCCTTCCCCCAATTCTTCCTCCTCTGTTTATACCTTCAAATATCTATATGGGAAAGATGGCTTGAAGTGCTGGTCTACATTAATTACATCTCCTTTCTCTTACCTCCACTATTATATTACATTATTTTATGTATTGTAGTGAGAAGCTGGACCTGACCTATGAAATCCAGGCGTTTGTTCCTCTTAAAACAAACTGTTAAGAGAATGAAGTCCCTGTGTTCTTCCATGTGTGGAATAGTTGAATGGCTGTGTGAGAAAAAGTGTGTGTGTGTGTGTGTGTGTGTATAATTTTGCTCATTGTAAATCTTTAGGATATCCTTTTGCTTTTAGCCCAACCTTGGTATTCTCAAGTACCTGATGCTTCCAGTCCCTTGGTATTACATGTGTTTTGGCTTCCCCTGCTGCTTGTTGTTGGATTGCAGACTTGTTTGTTTTGTTAGGTCTTACCACCTAATTTGTGCCTTCATTATTTTGTTTATATCTCTGATCTACTGACATCTCCTTTCTCATTGTTTTTCTCCTTTGTATGTGTATTTTCTCTCCTTTCTGTTTTTTGTTCTTTCACTATCATTTAAGTGGTTTAGTAAAGGAGTAGAGATCAGTGTGTAGGTTCAACTTGTCATATTTAAGTAGAAAGCCCTTTAACTCTATTTCTGTAGTTCTGTGTTATCATTTTTTGGACAAGATCAAGCTTTTTCATTGTACTAATTGCAGCTAGGAGACCAGTCTTGTCTCAGTTTTGACTTTTTCTGAAGGATGTGAGATCTTAGATTCTGACTATTATAGATCTTGATCATTTCCCTCTCCTTATGTAAGTACCAACTACCAAGAAGGAATCATAGCATTAGCCTCAGTAATGGTAAAGCTAGATGGAGACTACAGTAGTGCTTCCTACTTCCCTTCCTCAGTCTAGGCTTGGGGAACTTTATGTAGGTAAATCATAGAGTGAACTCAACAGCTGTTTGTTACCTCTACCTGTACAGGTGTGGTCACAGACTACCTCACTTCCTTAGTAGAGTGACAAAATATAGCAAGTATGCCTCTGAGAGTCATGGCTTTTCGTAGGCAGCAAAAGGCAGGTAAAATGGATTGTGTCAACAGAGTTTTGTAGCAAAATGTCATTATTCATAATTTGAAAACCTCAGTCTAAAGCATACCAAGGTGCCAGTAATCAAACTGCCCCTTTCCACTGGGCAATAAGATACAGAGGCTCCTCTCCTAACATCTACCTCAGAGAGCACATGTGGCCAAGAGTTTCTTCCTCAATGAGCTGAGTAAAAAACTTGATGGTTCCTCAGTCAGCTTGATGCCTCTGTCTTGTTCTTAAGTCAGCTGGGCAAAGTCATTGACTTCCAACTTCCATGTAAGAAAAGAACAATCATTTATTTAATCTAATTAAGTTTTGTGCATCTTACTTAGGCACCATATTCCACCACGGAGGGTGAAGGAGGCTTCTAGCAGTTGCCAGGCTTTTCTGCAAGATCCCTGTGCTCATTTGCACGGATGATGTGCTGTGCTTTCTCTGCTCTAGCAGGCACATTCATATTTACGATCTCTGTTCTGGTCCCCCTCCCACTGGTTTCCTCAGAATGGGTTTGCTTTCATCTTCCCTACCCGCTAAGGATGATCTCTCTGATGGGCATACATCTCCCTTATTTGTTACTGCTGAAGTGGACATGATGTGTTTGTGGCAGAGAGAATAGTTATGTGGAGACGTTCTTAGGAGTACGTAGAATCCTCATGGACACTAACAGGGATGGAGTCAGTCCTAGGAGAATGCAAGCATGCAGGCAATGTTTCTTAATAAAAATTTTATTAATTAAAAGAACAATGATAAATAGTGGTTTTACTCTTTACTTCCTCTTAAAAAAAAGACAATTGATTTATAATTCCTTTTTGCGTTGAAGCAGAACAAAACCAAAAGTACCTTAGAAAATAGTTGCTTATATCTGGCTAATCTATTATAAGGAATGGTGTTTTACTGTAGAATTTTTAATCTTATTTTATTGAGTAATGAAAAACATTGAGTGAATCCAGGAGATAACCCTAAAATTATACCCAGTCAGTGTAATATTGTTATATATTAAGTATTAGAAAAACACCCCCCACTTAGTTGAGTTTTATATTTTATTAAAAAGTTACTATCAAAACTTAATTTTTATTCTTTTAATTTTGTAGTCATAAGACAGAGGAAACCACAACTCTTCATGACCTGGTAGACCAGCTGGAACAAATTCTCAGGTGAGAAAAATGGCCATCTTTTGGTTCAATGCTGATTAAGGGGGTCAGTCCAAGAAATGTTACCTTAAGCCTGACTGTTAGTTATTATTTCCATTTCAATCACACATTTTCCTTGACTCTCTTCTGAGTGAATTTTCTCAGTGAGGAATATACTGCTTCCTTGTTATAGCAGGATGGTAGAAAAATAACAACTTGGGTTTTGAAGACTTGGTAAGCTGTTCTCCAAATCCAGACATTAGCAGATGGGTGATCTTTGAACTTAGGGTTTCCTTATCTATAACATCTAACTCATCAGATGTTGGAATTAATATTAGATTAAACAATTAAAGTATTACACTTAATAGGTGCACAGAAATGTTAATTTCTGTAGCCATTTTCACATCTATCAGCAAACAATGTCTGTTTTACTGCAGACTTTTGGGCACAACACATTTGAATGACTGGATAATGTCAAACTGTGCTGGAGCCTTCATGTAACTGTAGCGATATTCTTTACTGCTATAGTAAAACATTGAGCTCTACATCTCTTTGAGGTTGATATATATCTAACTGATATTGTTTACTAGTATTTGTTTATACGTATATATAAATATGTGATGTTAAACATTGTGTTACAAGCAAAAATTTAAGATTATAAACTTTGTTTAATATGTAATTATAGAACTTATAGATAATAACATCACTTTGGTAATGGTTGTGTGTATTGTAAAATATAATAATTTAAATTTCAGTAATTTATAATTTTCTTCAATCAAATTAGAGATTTTACTGTAAAAGTACTTGAAGTTGTATATAAGAAACATAATGACTTTATGCATCATAATATGTGTTTAATGAAGAATTAATTGATAGGTTTCTTTAAGACCTTTATTATTAGCCTGATTCTTGTTATTTTATGTTTTGGAAGGTACACAGTTGTATTTCTTAAAATGTATGAAATCAAGCTTTTTCTAATACAGCTTGTCCCTTTTTCCCCCAGCCTCACTGAAAAGTTCAGTATAGTTTGAGTAAATCTTAGTGAGTTGGGTCATTACAGAGTCATTCCTTACAAATCTATAGTTGCCTCTGTTTCCGAGTGAAACCAAGAGAAGATAACTCAGTGAGATGCAGTGAAATAGGTATAATTTATTTCATGTGTTTTTGGATGGGAGCAGGGTAGTCCTGATTGTCACATTATACCGTCCTTACTGCAGGAAAACAACACCGTGTTGGTCACTGAATGATGCTCAGATGCTTCTGCCTTTCATAGTTAAGCATGATTCACTGGCCTTTTAAAATAAGAACTTTTCTTGTTCACCTCTTAGCTACAAGTAGTTGATAAGAATTTTAGTGTACATAATGTGAAGTGACCTGACCAATGAATCCTGTCCTTATGAAGACTTACTGAACTCAATGTAGCCACTCTGTACAAGTCTGGTAGTAGTAAATTCATAAATGGTGAGGTCAGTGAGACATATCAGCATATAAATGATTATGAAATGCCATATCTCAAGAAGTTCACTTGATACTAGGAGTTTATGACAGTTCTTCTACTTTTATAAGATTGATACTTAAGGGACATTAAGCTTGATGATCATAACTGTGCTCCTCCAACTCTAAAATTCTTTATTGCTTTTCTAGGAGCTTTCCCTATGCATTCAATATGATTTCTGAGAGTTAAAACTGGGTATTAAGCTTATACATTTGGCTTATTTTATTGATTTGGTGTTTTTATTTTTTTTAGGGTAGAGGGAAATTGCAAAGAAGCTATTGAGATAATGATGGCACCCTTTAAAAAATTATGCTACTTAGTTCAGGTGCACTCTTAGTGCAGTGAAATGAAATTCAATATGTAATTAGAAGCTTGGGTTTTGGTGAGAATTAACATAATATGTAATGTTGCATCATACTATTTGATTTTTTTAAAAATACTAAATATTTAAGTGTTATTTATATGCTTGAGATTTTTAGACTTTTTGTTTGGCAACAAGATGTTAAATAATTCTTCTTTCACTTACAGTGTGTCAGAACTTCTGGAAAAACATGGACTTGCAAAACCAATTTCGTTTGTTAAAGACACTCAGTCTAGCTCAGAAGAGGCACGCAAGCTGATGGTTAGACTGACCAGGCACACTGCTCGAAAGTAAGTGACAAAATTAATTGATGCTTGTATGTCCTTTTTCTTGTATTGCTCCTCTTTTTGGACATGTTTAATGAGCTGTAATTAACCAATAGTGAACTGCACATATTAAATACATAATTTCATATGTGTTGGTACATGTGTATACTCATGAAAACCATCATTACTGATGGCCATATCCATGACCTTTAAAGATTGTTTCTTGCTTCTTTTAGTCCCTTCCTTGCTTTTCCTAATCAAGTCCTCAGCCACTCACCAGGTTACCATTGATTTATTTTCTAACTCTTTATATATGACTTTACATTTCTTAGAATTTTGGGTAAATGAATCCTACAGTATTTTGTTATTATTTGGCTTCTTTTACTTGACAAAATTATTTTGTGATTCATCCATTTTGTATCCTGGATCACTAATTTATTCCATTTTACTTGGTGAGTAGTAGTCCACTTTGGATTTATAGTCCTTTATCCACTCACCTGTTAGCAGACATTTGGCTTGTTTTGAGTTTTGGCATTTACAAATATAGCTGCTATGAATATTTATGTATAACTTTTTTATGAGAGTTTCTTTTATGTTCATTAGATGTATGCCGTACAACAGTTTTCTGCCATTTGTGTCTGTTTTCATTCTTTTATTTGTATCTTGAAAAGCATGCTTTTAAAAAAAATTAATTTTTTCTTTTTTGATTGTGCTTTTATTGTCATATCTAAGATATATTTGCCACAAATCATTTTATTTTTGCCTTTTCATCAGTTTTTAGTTTTATATTTATAACTAGGTTTGTGATCCATTTTGAGAATTTACTTTTGTTTATTGTTCAAAGGGTAGGTCAATCATTTTCATATCTAGCTATTCCCATACCATTTGTTGAAAACCCTAAGCTTTCTCTACTGAATTGCCCTGACAACTTTGTTGTAGACCAGTTGTTCATATATGTGAGGCCTGCTCTTTTTGTCTGTTTTCCAGTAGCACACTGCATTGCCTGTCATAGATCTCTGATAAGTCTCAAAGTTAGGAAAAACTACTTTCCCAGCTTGGTTTTCCTTTTCAGATTTGTTTTGTTTTTTTTCTAGGGCCTTTGCATTGCTGTACTAATTTTAGAATTAGCTTGTCTCATATTGTCATTTTAAAAATATTTATTTATTTATTTGTTTGTTTTGGAGACAAGGTTCCCAGGCTGTCTTTCAACTTGCTAGGTAGCCCACCTGGCATTGACTCGCTCTCTCCCTACTTCCTCCAAAGAGCTGGGATTACAGATGTGAAGATGTCAGTTCTTCCCAGGTTGATCTGTTCCTTTCCTGCATTCCCAGATATTAAATTAGAAACTATATAAGTATAGCATCTTCATTCAGTTCCAACATGAGTATGATACAGAGATGATAACTCAGATAATGTGTTGTTTTGCTCAAAAAGATTTGGTGCAATATGACATTAATTTTTTATTCCTGTGTCTTAAAATAATTTAATAATTGTCAGTTACTCAGTGTTTTCAAATAAGTGAGAGAATGAGTGTGTGAAAAAATGGTAATGGTAAATTAAAAAACTAGAACATTGTGCTTATGTTGATTTTGTCTCTTTCGACATATTTAAAATGGAATGTTTATTCTAGTGGAGTTAGAAATTTTGCTGAATTTCATTTAGAATGATTTTATAAGAGAAACAGTAAAACTGAATTCATTAGTTAATGTTCACATTTTGTAATCCTGCATTTATGAGGTTTTTGGTTTATATTATGAATTTTAAAAAAATTCATATTTCTTAATTTTGCATTTATTTATGAATTTTTATTCCCATTATTGTAGGTATATTTTGTTATGAATTTTAACACAGTATTGGTTGATATCGGGTTTATAGGAAGAAGGGAGTGTAATACTTCCGGTCTGGTTGAAGGTATATGCAATTAAATTACTACGGGGCTGAGGTTGTGGTTTAGTGGTGGAAGAGTTGTGTAGCAGTCATGCAGACCTGCTTTGATCCCCAACACCGCCAAAAAAGGAAACAAAACAAAAGAGAAAACCAAAAGAAAAAACACCATAATCTACCAACAGGTTGCTACAAGTGCTACAAGAAAACTAGCAGATTATCTTTTTTTTTTAATTTTTATTTTTTTATTATTCATATGTGCATAAAATACTTGGTTCATTTCTCCCCCCTGCCCCCACCCCCTCCCTTACCACCCACTCTGCCCCCTCCCTCTCCCCCTCACCCCCTCGATACCCAGCAGAAACTATTTTGCCCTTATTTCTAATTTTGTTGAAGAGAGAGTATAAGCAATAATAGGAAGGAACAAGGGTTTTTGCTGGTTGAGATAAGGATAGCTATACAGGGCATTGACTCACATTGATTTCCTGTGCGTGGGTGTTACCTTCTAGGTTAATTCTTCTTGACCTAACCTTTTCTCTAGTTCCTGGTCCCCTTCTCCTATTGGCCTCAGTTGCTTTAAGGTATCTGCTTTAGTTTCTCTGCGTTAAGGGCAACAAATGCTAGCTAATTTTTTAGGTGTCTTACCTATCCTCACCCCTCCCTTGTGTGCACTCGCTTTTATCTTGTGCTCAAAGTCCAATCCCCTTGTTGTGTTCGCCCTTGATCTAATGTCCCCATATGAGGGAGAACATATGATTTTTGGTCTTTTGGGTGAGGCTAACCTCACTCAGAATGATGTTCTCCAATTCCATCCATTTACCAGCGAATGATAACATTTCATTCTTCTTCATGGCTGCATAAAATTCCATTGTGTATAAATACCACATTTTCTTAATCCATTTGTCAGTGGTGGGGCATCTTGGCTGTTTCCATAACTTGGCTATTGTGAATAGTGCTGCAATAAACACGGGTGTGCAGGTGCCTCTGGAGTAACCTGTGTCCCAGTCTTTTGGGTATATCCCCAAGAGTGGTATTGCTGGATGAAATGGTAGATCAATATTTAGCTTTTTAAGTAGCCTCCAAATTTTTTTCCAGAGTGGTTGTACTAGTCTACATTCCCACCAACAGTGTAAGAGGGTTCCTTTTTCCCCGCATCCTCGCCAACACCTGTTGTTGGTGGTGTTGCTAATGATGGCTATTCTAACAGGGGTGAGGTGGAATCTTAGTGTGGTTTTAATTTGCATTTCCTTTATTGCTAGAGATGGTGAGCATTTTTTCATGTATTTTTTGGCCATTTGAATTTCTTCTTTTGAGAAAGTTCTGTTTAGTTCATTTGCCCATTTCTTTATTGGTTCATTAGTTCTGGGAGAATTTAGTTTTTTAAGTTCCCTGTATATTCTGGTTATCAGTCCTTTGTCTGATGTGTAGTTGGCAAATATTTTCTCCCACTCTGTGGGTGTTCTCTTCAGTTTAGAGACCATTTCTTTTGATGAGCAGAAGCTTTTTAGTTTTATGAGGTCCCATTTATCTATGCTATCTCTTAGTTGCTGTGCTGCTGGAGTTCTGTTGAGAAAGTTCTTACCTATACCTACTAATTCCAGAATATTTCCTACTCTTTCCTGTATCAACTTTAGAGTTTGTGGTCTGATATTAAGATCCTTGATCCATTTTGAGTTTATCTTGGGATAGGGTGATATACATGGATCTAGTTTCAGTTTTTTATAGACTGCTAACCAGTTTTCCCAGCAGTTTTTGTTGAAGAGGCTGTCTTTTCTCCATCGTATATTTTTAGTGCCTTTGTCAAAGACAAGTTGGTTATAGTTGTGTGGCTTCATATCTGGGTCCTCTATTCTGTTCCACTGGTCTTCATGTCTGTTTTTGTGCCAGTACCATGCTGTTTTTATTGTTATTGCTTTGTAATATAGTTTGAAGTCAGGTATTGTGATACCTCCAGCATTGTTCTTTTGACTGAGTATTGCCTTGGCTATTTGTGGCCTCTTGTGTCTTTCCATATAAATTTCACGGTAGATTTTTCAATCTCTTTAATGAATGTCGTTGGAATTTTGATGGGAATTGCATTAAACATGTAGATTACTTTTGGAAGTATAGATATTTTTGCTATGTTGATTCTACCAATCTGTGAGCATGGGAGATCTCTCCACTTTCTATAGTCTTCCTCAATCTCTTTCTTCAGAAGTGTATAGTTTTTCTTGTAGAGGTCTTTCACATCTTTTGTTAGGTTTACACATAGTTATTTGATTTTTTTTGAGGCTATTATAAATGGAATTGTTTTCATATATTCTTTTTCAATTTGTTCATTATTAGTGTATAGAAATGCTAATGATTTTTCTATGTTGATTTTATATTCTGCTACCTTGCTGTAGCTATTGATGGTATCTAGGAGCTTCTGAGTAGAGTTTTCTGGGTCTTTAAGGTATAGGATGATATCATCTGCATATAGGGATATTTTGACAGTTTCTTTACCTATTTGTATTCCTTTTATACCTTCTTCTTGCCTAATTGCTCTGGCTAGGAATTCCAGTGCTATGTTCAATAGGAGTGGAGATAGTGGGAATCCTTGTCTGGTTCCTGATTTTAGAGGGAATGATTTCAGTTTTTCTCCGTTAAGTATAATGCTGGCTGTAGGTTTGTCATATATAACTTTTATAACGTTGAGGTACTTTTCTTCTATTCCTAGTTTTCTTAGAGCTTTTATCTTGAAATGGTGTTGGATCTTATCAAAGGCTTTTTCTGTATCTGATGTGAATGAAGCTGGATATCAAGACCAGCAGTTGGAGTTAGGCATGTGAGTTTGACCATCAAGTGTGTATTGAAAGATTAGATTATGTATCTTTCACTTAGGGAAATTGTAAAATGTGAGGAAGGCTGGGAAAAACTGTTTTAAGCCCTAATGCTAAAAGAGAACGTTAACTGGCAGTAGGATTAAATAAACCACTTTTAGGTTGTAGAGTTACTGTTTAATCCAAGTATTAAAAAACAGAAAATCCCGCACTAATCATCGTGTATTCCCTCTTACCTTTTAAGAGCTAACTCTACATCTTCTAAGAGACCTTATTTGACTCCTCTAGGTAGAATTGAATTCTTTTTCTGGGAATTCCCTAGCATTTTGTATTTTTTTCTCATCTCTATCCCTCTCTTGTAACACTGTGCTGTGTTTGTGAACATATGTACCTCAATCATAATTCTAGATCATAATTTCTCATTGTACACGTGTTATAGCCTCAAATCAGAGCTCAAGTGTTATTGGCCCTAATAATTATTAAATGAATGGTTTTGAAAATTTTGATAAGTTACATCATAAAATATATTTACAAATGTGTGGTCAGTACCTCTGAGCTCATGCTGCCTGCTTTATTACCTACTCTTTGATGAGAAAGCCTTTCTGGTACTGGAAGACCACCTATCATCCTCCTTACATACTTTTGAAGTCCCTGAAGTTAATGTCTACTCCTGCTGATCCATTTCCTGTGAATATTTGTGAGAAAGGATATGGCCTGTTTTCAAAATTGTCTGCTTGACATGAATTGTAATTATTTTCTGTATGTTACCATGCCTTGGTTGTCAGTATCTTTAAGTCATCTTATCAACTCTGTCATCAATCAGTTTTTACCATCGTGAACACAGTCAACACCCTTTCTCCCTGGATGATAGATCCATCTTCATTCCAAAGCTGCAGCTGGTGCTGCATTTGTGTTGAGGAATCTCTGTTAATTTGCAAGCCTCTTGTTTAGTTTCTTCAATTTCTATCCTTGACTCTTATTTACTGAATGTTGTCTGAAAAAGGCCATTATAAATAATGTGTTATAATTTATTTTAATTAGAACCTCTACTTAGAGCTAGCCATGTGTGAGAAAACATTAATACCATCTGTTCCAGCATTGGTGACTTCCAGAAGAACAGCTGGGCTGTGAGAACTTGAGTTCAGCTAGACAAGGCTGAGGTCTGATTTTATCGAGCTGGTGTAAGATGGACACTTGCTTCATCAGACATTGTGTTTCTGTGCCTGCCTGAAAGAGCCCTACAGTTCTTTGAACCCCACCAAAAAGAGTTCCAATACCAATGGAAATATGTTACTCATTATTCTGGAATTTTGCAAGTGTATCAGCTTGTTTTGTTCATTTGTGGGCTGAAACAAAGTGTTCTGTTATGCTTTATTGCACATGGAACAAAAGCAATTGTTCGCTTTTTGTAATAAATATTAAATTCCATATGCAAATAAAGCATATGCTTGTTAAGAACATTAAAATAAGCTGGGTATGGTGACATGTGCCTTCTGGCCCAGGTACTTGGGAGGCTGAATTCAGGAGTTTGAGACCAGCCTGGCCAACATATTAAGGTCCAGACTGGGGAAAAAAAAAAAAGAAACTAGAAAAAAATTCTTAAAGACTGTATTTGTCACAGGAATTGCCTCAAATACATTCTTTTCCCATAGCAATATGTATATACACAGTCTCTCTTCTCTGTTTTAATGCAGAGCACTTAGAAAATAATGATTTTTTTTTAAAGATAGCATTTTGCTGTGTAGTCCAGATTGCCTCAAACTCATGATATTCTATGTCAGCCTCTTGAGTACTTGATTACAGGTATGTGCCACCACTCTTGGCAACAGTAGGTTTTTTTTTTTGTAGTACTTGGGTTTAAACTCAGGGAATAGTGCTTGCTAGGTAGGTGCTCTGCCATTTGAGCCACACCCTGAAACCCTCTCCCTCCTTTTTTGCTTTACTTATTTTTCACATAGAGTCTTGCATTTTTTGACCATGTCTGACCTCAGACCACTGTCCTCCAAATCTCTGCCTCCCAAGTAGTTGGTATTAAAGACATGAACCACTGCACCTGGCAATAGTGATAATTTTTAAAGGCAATATATAAGATAAAAAAGAAAAAGATTCATAAAAAATATACATTTGGTGTTTGACAAACACAAAACAGAATCTAACCATTTTAAAAATTGAGATTCATTGTTATGTAGAACTTCCAGATGAGAAGATAAACATAAGTGATGCTTCTAAACTCATATAGTCAACTGAGATGATTTTTTAAGGGAGGCAAAGAGAATTGTGTCATGTTCTCCTTTCTTTCACATATGTAACCTAACAAAAACCACGATGTCTTTGTAACTTGAGATGCATTCATTTGCATTTGTCAAATACTTATTCCAGAAAAATTGGGGGCTTTTCATATATTGTATTTTAAATTAATCTTAAACTTATAATGTAAAACATTTATTCAAATCCATACAGGTAAGTGAACTTGTTTTTATGTCAGGACCATTGCTTTGATGCTTGTATTTGATCAGAATTAATCTCATCCATTTCTTATGTGAATGAAGGAAGTGAATTTCAGGAATAATAAATGTCTTGCTTACAATCACTCAACTCATCTGAGTGTGGATAAAATTGTTGGTAAAACCTTTTTCCTGCTGCAGGAGAATCTGACCATTAATTCCCTGTTCTGTCATTTTGGAAGCCAACATAACACTTCTCTTTTTTTTTAACCAACTGGATTGCCGAGGGCTCGTGGTTGATTACAGGCATGTAACGCCACTCTCGGCAACAGTAGTTTTTTTGTTCAGGCTGCTAAATTGCCTCTGGCATGGAGGAATTGTAAATGAACTAGAAATACTGAGTAGGGCATGTGTGATTTGCCTTTCTTGAATGTGGTTGCTGACATGTCCTTTGAAGGAACCTGGAAAATTGTGTCTGTGAAATTGTGAAAGATAGTGGTACTTTCAGATCATGAAGCTTCTTTCTAAGCCGGCAGCTACTATGAGGCTCTGAATTCTTGGCCCTGGGCTGCCACCCAAGAAGAAGATAACTCCAGAAGTGTTCTGTATGTTGCTTTGTGGACTGTTGTTAGTCCTCTCACTGACGGGAACAACCAATGCTACCATGCTGGCAAATGGTAGTTTCTTCTGACCAGATTGAAGCCATGACTGGCCTGTGTTTACCTTCTGTGTCTGAATGTTCAGTTGAAATTTAAAAGAGACCCTGCAGCTGGGCATCATGGTTCATGTCTGTAATCACTCTAGAGCCTGAGATGGCAAGACTGAGAGTCTGAGGCCAGCCTGGCCTACATAGTGCCAGATTGTCTCAAAGAACACCAAAACCAATGACAAAAAGAAAAAGGGAGTACAGAGTGATGAAGGTGGAATTTGAAAGGCACCTCTCTTTTTCTCTAATACCATAGCTGTTTTATCTAAACTGCAGCTCATTTTGCTATAGAAACTCATGACTTGTTTTACCTTCGTCTTTTTTTTTTTTGATCTGAATTTTTCCCCCATTTTTATTAGTTGTTATTTGTTATACAAGGGGAATTCATTGTGACAATTCCAAATAGCTTTACATTGTACATTGATTGCATCACTCCCACCACCTCCCCCAACCCCCTTACCACCCCACTTAAAACAATTGTAAGAGGTTTCTTCATTCTATTTCAGTCCATCACTGATGTTCCCTAACCTTAATCTCCTTTGTTAGCCTCCCCCTCCTACAACTACCTCCCCCACGGTATCTATTTTATAGTCCTGTCTTTCATTATCAGATCCAAAATCAATGTTCAAAGGTGCTTTTTGATGTGTCCCCACTGTGAGGTTGGTCAGTTCAACCTCTTCCATTACTCTCCCTTATTCCTTCCCTCCCATCCCCATTATTCAACAGCTTTCAATACACATTGTATCTTCTACCTGCACAGACATAATGTATTTCAATATTGTTGATTCTCTTATCACTCTCTTTTCCCTTCCCTCCTCCCCCTGAGTTCCATAGAGTAGCTCCAGTGTTACAAATATGTCTATAAGTTTACATATGATCATGTTTGTTTTTGTGTTTATCTTTACCTTTTGGATCTGTCTTCCACATATGAGAGAAACCATGCAGCTTTTGTCTCTCTGAACCTTGCCTACTTTACTTAACATCATGTTCTTCAAAATATCCATTTATCTTTAAACCATGTGGTATCATTCTTCCTTCGGGCTGAGTAAAACTCCATTATATATATTATTTTATATATATATATATATGTGTGTGTGTGTGTGTGTGTATATATATATATATATCACATTTCTTGATCCACTTATCAGTTGTGGGGCATCTGTGTTATTTACATAGCTTGGTTATTGTGAACAGTGCTGCAATAAACATTGGTGTGCAAGTGTCTTTATTGTATCCTGACTTACATTCCATTGTTACTTTTGTCTTTTAATGTTTAATTCTAGTTTTGTGTCTAAGTTCATATGACAGAAGCTTGTATGGTAGTAGCTGTAACATTTCATGCAGAGCTGCCCAACTTTTCCCTCTATCTTTAATCCAGATTTTTCCTAAGAGATATCCCTATGATCATACTTACAAATGTGGTCTGTAGAGTGATGTTCTAGGTTTGTTTGTTTTGCACTTTTTGGTAAATGGAAGAGATATTTAATAAATTATTTTCCTTTTCTTCTCCCCTTCCCCCAGGCAGCCTTTTGTCAGTGAGTCTCATTGGAGGATATTGCTACAAGACATGTTAACCATGCAGCAGAATGTATACACGTGTCTAGATTCTGATGCCTGCTATGAGGTAATACAGGTGTAAATGTTTCTTTTTTTCATTTAGAGATTTTGATTGCTATACTTCATTGGTCTCAAAAGAGATGACCAGATATTGTACTACAGGTGATACTCTTAGGGAATGCAGCCCATAAGTAACCAGTGCTTTGTACTTTAAGTGTTTTCATACTTGCTCTCCATCTTCAGTCTTTATTGGAACACCATCTTGGCTAATCCTTAGAAAATTCAGAATCATGCATCACTCCTCTGACTTCTATAGTTTTGGTGGTCACCAAAGCATACTTAATGGTTGGGGTGTAACTTAGTGTTAGGGTGCATGTCTACCTTGTGCAAGGCCCTGAGTCCAGTCCCCAGCACATGAACAAACAAAAAACAAAATTTATTTAATATACCTGAGAAAAAGTCTTCCAAATCTGCCTATTTGCCTTATCTCTCCTAAATTGTGGCAGTCCTTCTGCCCTTTTCTCTGTGTTCATATCTCTTTCTGCTTTATATTCATTCAGCATATTCTGCTAAAACAAAACTTATCATGATGCTCCCTTTCTTAGCATTCGTTGCTGGTTCCATATCAGCCAGCTAGTACTTGTACTTGCTGCATAGAAACCCACAGCAGCTCATCTTGTCCCTGTCTATTCCTACCTCCACCTTGTACTTTATATTTCAGTAGCTCCATCAAAGCTGACATAAATCCATCCACCCACCATGCTGTGTCCTGTTTCTGAGACCTTGTGTACTTCATTCCCTTCACTTGGAATAAATTCGTGATACATTTTCAGTACTCATCTCAGTGTTTATGTTCCCTAGGCTACTTTCCTTTCTCTCTTCATATGAGTTGCCTTACCATAGCCTTTCTTTAAAATGCAATTATTTGTTGACATGCATGTTCCTTCAGGTTGTTCATGAATTACTAGGTAGTACTTATCCAATCATGTCTAGTCTCATATCCTGTGGTGCATATTAATTTTTGGGATATCAAGGATGCTTAAGAAATGGTTGTCACTGGGGGTATAATCCAAGGGGACTTATTCATTATTTTGAGAGGTATGTGTATTATCAATAAATTGCTTATGATTTGTGTGGGAAAATGATCCAGTTAACTAATTTTTAGTGGAATGTAGTCTAGAGGTTTCTTACTTGAATATTCTTATTAAATAAGCCAGGCACAAAATGATATAGGGATTTCTTGTGTTGCTTTGCTCTACTGTCACAAAGAAAAAACCATTGATGGAATAAGACTTGTAAAAACAGGTCTTTGTTTTGTGAAACTGTTTAGTTCTTAAGTTCAAGATAATTTGAACAAAAGAACACCAATAAGAGCTATTGAGAAATGAGTGGTTTCATAGTTGAATTTCTGTTTTTAAATGTTTGAATGACTATAGTGCTCACATTGACGAGTAAAATCTCAGGCCATAGATAGCTGCCTGTAACTTCCTTTCTTATATCTGAAGCAAACCTCGAAATCAACTTCAGGAAAAAGTAAACTGTGCGTACCTAGACTCTAAAACCTAGCTGTCATTTGTGCTTTAAGTGGCATTCTTTCTTGGGAGTACTATTATTTTGGTAATTTCCTGTTTCTGACTATGATGCTGATTCCAAATGAAAAACTGACAATAAGTATACTACACTTGAACTAGACCCTGTGTGTAGTGATTGTTCATTACAAGTTAGCACATTGCATTAAAATATCCTAGTGTCTTTTCATTGATGCTGATGTTTTGATTATGTCCACTAGTTCCTCTCTGTTGAGAAAATATTTGGAAGCAGTATAAGCTTTGAAGAGCTTCTTGAACACAATAATACAGATTTGGCAAAGTTAAAGTTTTAAACATTTTTTGTATATTTAGACTATGTTATTTTGTCTTGCTAACTTTAGATAACTCTGTTTTGCTATCCTTGGAAAACAGTTTGAAAGTTCAATGTCATAAAAGTGTAAAAGACTTATATTGAGCCTTCAGAACAGAAATCCATGTTGTTCAATTTAGCAAGACCTTTTGATTTTTAGGATGAGCAAGTTGTATTTTTCAGTATTGGCCTTGACTCTTTATGGCTTGCCTGAACAAACCAAAGAGATATAAAGAAACTGTTACCTGTAAGTCATTTAGGTTAGGATTGGAGTAAGCCATTTTCATCTACCAGATATTAATGAGTAGAGCTGAGCATTGATAATTTGGTTTCTGTCACAGTACCTATTTTATAGCATCTCTGTGTTAGAGATTAGTGATTTTATCCTTATCACACATCTCAATAAATCTTGTATAAGATAACTGCCCCATCTTATATGTTGCTCTCAGCATGTTTGTTTAATTTTTGAGACAGGGTCTTCCTGTGCCATCCAGGCTGCCATTGAACTTGTGATCCTACTGCATCAGCCTCTGTAGTGCTAGGATTACAGGTATGGCTTCCATACCTGGCTAATATCCTGTTTTTAATGAAAATGAACTTTAAATACTTGACTCAAGTACTCATTGTAGTCTTGGAGCCAGTGGCTCAAGCCTGTAATCCTCACTACTTGGGAGGCTGAAATCAGGGGGATCACAATTTGAGGCCAGCCTAGGCAAATAATTCTCAAAACTTCATCTCCAAAGTAAACAGCAAAAAAAAGAGTAGTTATTGTCATAACCTTAAAGTGGTATGCTTTATTTTGAATTATTCAGTGAAATTGTTCTTTCATCTTCCCAAAAGATGAATTAAATATTTTTAGCATAGATTGTACAAAAGGGTTTCATTTTGATATTTCTGTACTTATATGTGTTACTTTTTCTTATTCACCCAACCCCCTGAGACAATGGGTTTCATTATTCTCTTTCCATACATATATATGAAGCATATCAACCATATTCACTCACCCCTTTACCCTCTCTTTTTACCTTCCCTACTCCCATTAGTACTCCCTATTTTATACTTGTACCATTTTTTTTAGGTCTAGATTTCATATATGACAGAACATCTTTCTGTCTGTTTTATTTCACTTAGCCTGATGATCTTCAGTTTCATCCATTTTCCTTCAAACATTTCATTCTGTTTAGGTGAATGATACTCCATTGTGTATATACACCACATATTCTTTTTTATTGGGAGATGGTGGGAATGGGGTTTGAACTCAGGGCTTTGTGCTTGTAAAGCAGACATTCTACCGCTTCAGTCACAACTCCAATCCAATTTGCTCTGGCTATTTTGGAGATGGGGTCTTGTGAACTATTTGCCTATGCTGGCTTTGAACTGCGATTCTCCCAATCTCAGCCTCTCAAGTAGCTAAGATTACAGGCATAAGCCACTGGTGCTCTGCTATACCACATTTTCTCTATCCATTCATGGGTTGATGTACACTTTAGCTAATTCCATAGCTTGGCTATTGTGAATAGTGCTGCTGTAAACATGGGTGTTTCAACATATGTCTAGAAGTAGTATAGCAGGTATTTCTGTTGTATCTTTATCATTTTATCTATCATTGTTTGCATTTTCTTATACATCTACCTTATCTTCAAGCCCTGACATTCTGTCTTTAATTTGTTCCAGTCTACTTGAGTGACATCCCACTAAGTTTTTTCTTTGACCAATTGAGCTTTTCATTTCCTAAATTTTGATTCATTTTTTCCTCAGAATTTCTATATTTATTGAATTCTTTCTTGCCTTGAATTGTCTTCTTTACTTCAGTTGTTTACTTGAGTTTTCTTCGCATTCATTCAGGCATTTATTTGTGCCCACTTTAACTTCATTGCTCATTCTTATCACTTTATCAAATTCTTTAGGATATCATCATGGCTATTGACTTTTGGACAAGTCATGTTTCCTTGTTTTTTCATATTTCTTATGTTTCTGCATTGGGATTTGTGCATCTGGGATCAAGTAATTGGTTGGAAGTTTTAGTCACCTGTAGTCTTTCAGTTGTAATATTCTCAATGTTTAAGTATGACAGTGTAGTGCCAGGGTTGAGGTGCTATTTCTCACCACTGGACCAGGAATTATGACTCAGTAGCTAAGCATTTGCCCACATGCTTAGGCCACTGGTCCTGATCCTCAGCACTGCTCAGATTGAGGAAAATTGGCTGTAGTCTCTTGTAGCATACTCAAGTTGTCTACTTCTGGGCTGCTTTCACTTTCTAAGTTTCCCTTTGTGTCCTCAGAGCCACTGGTAGCTACAAAGAGCTTTATAGCCCATATACTGGGCAGGTTCTCATTTGCACCAGAACTCTCCCAGTTTGTCTTCCCTGTGGCAGCAAATGTTCAAGCCTAGCAGTGACCCCAAAATGCATCAGAGGATAAGGGGAGCAACCAGAACACTTTGTTCTCTACTGGCAGGGGAAGAACTTATGAATAAGCACTATGTCTGTTTATTCATAAGTGCTTTCAAAACCCCTCTGTTCCCAACATTTCACCTGCCTGTCAGCCAGCACATGAAACTAGCAGGCAGGACCCAGAGGCCGAATGCCACTCCAGCTATAGTATCAGTACTTGGTCTTCACCATGACCCATGGATAGTCAGACTTGCTCCTTGCCAGGAAGGACAGATCCTTTTACCACTGCCCCTTCACTGCTGGAGTGTCCCACTGCTTGTACTTCACTGAGATTCAAGGCAGACCTTCTTGCTCTTCATGCTTGTCCCTTGTTTTCTAGCCCCCAAAGTAGTTTATTCACAAAAGGACTCCCTCCCATGGCATTTTGCTAAAGTCTTCTGAGGCAAGGACAGTGATAGAATGTCTTCACTAAGATAGCCTTTCACACGGAAGCAGTCACTGTTAGACCAAAATCCCTGCACTGCCCTGGGTTGAAGGCTTGCAGGAGGCATGGACTCATAGACTTGCCAGTGCCATCTGACTTATCTTGTAATTATGTCTTCAGCTTCCCCTTCCCCTTCCGGTGAGCCAAGGAAAGGGCTTGAGGACTGTTTTCTGCTTTTCTCTGTTGCCTCTTTTCCTTTGAGCTTTTCTGCTGCCCTGCCACCTCTTTCATTATTCCCAGTGCTCTTCCCCTCTTTTTGTCTTCAGAATAGTCTTTGTTACCTGATTTTTCTCATTCACAGAGTCAAGATAGAGGATGTTTCTAGGTCACCCTCTTGTCCTATCTTGTGAAAGGGTGTCTGAATGTTTTTACTGAGGTGAAATTCATATATAAACTTAGCCATTTTAAAGTATATAATATAACTGTATAGTATATTCAAATTGTTACGCAGCCACTAGCTCTAGGGTCAATGTATTTCTATTTCACTTGGATTTCAGAGCTGAGTTTTCTTCTATCACTAATTCCACCTTTTTCTTTTTCCCAGATATTTACAGAAAGCCTTCTATGCTCCAGTCGTCTTGAAAATATCCAGCTGGCGGGGCAGATGATGCACTGCAGTGCTTCTTCAATAAATCCTCCAGCCAGTGCAGCCAATAAAGGAAAACAACAGTACAGGGTCAGTTACAAAAAAAGTATTGACTTGGTGCTGGCTGCCAGTAGAGAGTACTTCAACTCTTCCACCAACCTCACTGACAGCTGCATGGACCTGGCCAGGTGGGATAATGTTCTTCCGTTAGACGGAGGAGATGATTCAGAATGCGCAAGTGTCATTGTTAATATAGTCTTACAAAACCCACAGATTATTTGAAGTACAGACTTACTATACTGTATGGGGTATAGTTGTTTGTTGTTTGAATATAGAGAGAAAAGTAATGACTTAAGAATATCCTTTAACTTCTTCCTGACCCCTTTCCACCAGCATTCTTTTTGATAAGTCATTTTTACTGGTTATCTGGAAGTGTGCCTTTCCCTTTTGTTGGAAGACATTCTGTAAAAAATTAAAAATTCTGTAATTTCATCATGTGTAGGTGGTGTCTGTTTCCTTTACACAGCATTTCCTCTGTTTAGAAACAAGGGACCTGATTAGATGATAAAGCTACAGTGTCCCTTCCAGATAGTAATTTGTGGTTTACAAATTCAGCTCCTTTCTTGCCTTATTGTATTAGGCCACTCCTCTTATGTAGCATGAGAAAGAACATATACTAAAGAGTGAATTTTTGTAGTTCTTCAAAATCACACTGAATCTTTTCTAGAACAATTTACTCATCATTTGAAAATATATATCACTTCTGTACTAATGAATCTTCACAGCTTCAGGGAAGACTTAGTCCATTTTTATGATTATGATAGCACACCTTAGGTACTTATAAAGAGAGAAGCTTATTTACCTTATAGTTTTGAAGGCTTATAGTCCAGACAGCACAGCTCTGGCTCTGCTTGAGGGTCCCTTTGACTTTCTCACCTTGTGTCAGAAGGTATTACAAAAACAGACACACAAGGATAGGATGGTAACACAGGAAGCCAGAGTGAGGGGGAGTAGGCAGTTTTATGACTTCTCACTAGGCCCCTTCTCTTAAAGGTTCTACTACTTCTCAATACCAAAGTACTAGGGACCAAGCTTGGACCCAATCTTGCAACACAGGAATCCTTGAGGGATGCATTTAAACCATATTCAAGTTACAGTGATGCTCTTCCTTGTTTCACATTGCAGAATCTGAAAAGTGGCTAAGTTGTATTTTGCCTTCTCTCCCCTGCTATCTGACCAATGTCCTTTTACTACTACTTATTTTCCAAGGTTTTTTTTGTTGTTATTGTTTTGTTTTTTTGTGATGTCTAGTCCCTCTAATGTATATTTCTCCATCAAGCCACGTGATAGAAGTCTGAGTCTGTTTTTCTTTGGGATCTCTTTTGAAGACCCTGTTCTAATTTTCCTTGCTCAGAGCTGAGCTAGTCCCCATTCTTTTCTAGAAACAATTTTTTTCTTTATTTTATATCTTCAGGGTTATTAACAATTTTTCTGAGGACTTGAATTTCTAAATAAGCCTGGGACCTCTTTAGTATAAGATGACTGTAATTTTTGGCAAATTAATTATTTGCTAATTGGTATATTTTCTTTTCATTTTAAAGCAACCTGGTAGTGAAACTCTGTAATAATATGTCTTTGGGCATCTGTGAATCTATCTGTAGGATAAATTTCTAGGACTGGAGTTGCTAGGTTCAGAGGCGAGGTGCTTTTAAAATTTTGATAGAATCCACAAGGTTATGGACTTTTTATGCTTGAGTCAAAGGTATATGTGAGTGCTCAACTGACTAAAATCCTACAAATTTTCAAGAACTTGGTAGGCTTTTATCTATCCCTGAGTCATATCAATGCCATACTGGTGCCTAGATACCTTCATCTGGTGATCTATGATTTCAGCGTTCATTAGCCCTTGGGACCTGATCTCTACCTAGTCTCATGACCCAATAAGAAAATAAAGTTGTTCCTTAAATAAAACTTTTATTAAGGGTACTTTCTCTGAATTAAAAAAAATGTTTAAATTACTTGATAGGGCTGGGCATGGTATTTTATACTGTAGTCTCAGCTACTCTCTGGAGACTGAGAAAGGAGGCTCACTGAGCCCAGGAGTTCTTCTTTCATTTTATTTGATCATTTTTACATTTACGCACATGTGCATACATTGTTTGGGCCGCCTCTCTCCCCCTCCATCCCCCACTTCCAGGCAGAACCTCTTCTGCCCTCTTGTTCTCCGATTTTGTGGAAGAGAAAGCATAAGAGATAATAAGAAAGGCATAGCATTTTTGTTAGTTTGAGATAAAGATAGCCAAACAGAGAGACTCCTGGCATTGCTTCCATGCATATGTGTATTACAACCCATATTGGTTCATCTCTACCCGACCTCTTCACTACTTCCTGGTCTCCTTCCCTTGGTGGCCTCTGCCAGTTTAAGATTACTTTATTCGCTCTTCTACAGGGAGCACATCAACCACATTCAAGTTTTAGGTTTCCTTCCCTTTCCATGTTCCTCCTGTGCGTGTTCTCCCCTTAGTGTGTGACCCATGTCCAATAATATTACTGCATTTGTTTTAGGTCTATAATCCATATGTGAGAGAGAACATGTGATTTTTGACTTTCTGAACCTGGTTAACTTTGCTTAAGTTGATATTCTCTGGTTCCATCCATTTACTTGCGAATGACAAAATTTCATTCTTTGTGGCTGAATAATATTCCATTGTGTATAAATACCACATTTTCTTAATCTATTCGTCAGTAGTGGGGCATCTTGGTTGTTTCCATAGCTTGATCCCAGGAGTTCTTGACCAGCCTGGGATCTTGTCGCAAAACAAAGCAAAACAAAATACTGCATAGGTCTCACACATTCTTAGATTTTCACATCATTTTCTGTTGGTAGTTTATCTCAGTACTGTATTGCTAACCAATTCCTTCTTTTCTTTTTTTAAACAGAAAATTGTTCCTTGTGCAGATTTTTTATATCATTTCTTGTGTAATACCAAATTAAGACTGTTTTCTCTAGAAGGGAAGTTGGAAATTACCTGATTGTCATCTTTAAAAAATCCTTTCTGATCTGATCATTACCATTTTAGGCATCAATAAAAAGAACACTAAAAAGAGTTATGATGCTTTGAACCCTGATACCATTACTTACTATCCGTGTGATGATGTTCAGGCCGCTTTACCTCTCTGGACTTCAGTTTTGTCCTCTTTACTTCAACAAGCAGCTGTTGACATTTGCCTACCTCATAGGCTTGCTATGAGGATTAAGAAGACTGAGAATGTGGTATCTTTTTGATAAATATCTGTTGGCTCCCATATTCAATATACAAAGGTAACTTGGCTGGATGTTTGTTGCTTTTTTTTTTTTTTAAATTGTCTAATTTCTTATAGGTGTTGCTTACAGCTGATAACAGATAGACCCACTGCCATTCAAGAGGAGCTGGACCTTATCCAGGCTCTCGGATGTCTTGAAGAATTTGGGGTAAAGATCCTGCCTTTGCAAGGTGTGTATTCTGCTAGTGTTACACTGTTATTAGCTTACTTCGTCCTAATTTACTAGTATTATTTTTTAATTCTTGGAACTAAAGATTAATTAGCAATAAATCTCTAACTCTTGTATTTATTTTTCAAGTAGAAACTCAAATGAAAAAATAAATTTATTTTTTAAAGTTCACACTTATATCCTTTGAGAGAATAATTCTGTAGCCGAGCGGTGAGGCCACTGGATGAAAACAGAAATAGATATTGCAGATTATGGAGGGAAGCTTCAGATTTATGTCAGTTTTGACATACAGTTTATTTCTGAATTTTGTTTCATTTCATAGATTTATAACTTTTTATGGTTACCTCAGAATATTCTTTAAGTCAATTCTTTTTTTTTTTTTAACAGAAGTAATAATAGCAAATTCTTTTAGAGTTTAATTACCAGTGATACTTTTGCCTAAATGTAAAATGCATTTAGGTGCTATCTACATGGGCATCCTGTCACATAGTCACTGTCCCAGCTGTGAGGACAGGACACATCTCACAATGTTCTGACCTTACCCAACAAGTAGATTTTTCAGTCTCTCCTAACCCGGGACTCTGGTGCCCTAAGCGAAGAGGGTGGTTTGACTACTGGCAGTGCGCTTGGCTGACTTCCCTGTCATCTATGATCTCTGTTCTTAACTGCTGCTGCTGTCATATAGTGATGGCCTGGTACATGGTCCTTGGTGTCTTTGTTCCTTTTAGTGTTTGAGTTGAATGAGACAACAGAGACAGTCTGTTGTGTTCACATGTGCTTATGTTGTGGATTTACTCAAAATCAGAGTTCCTCTTTCTGAAGTTTATTAGACTAGAAAGTGGTAGTGTTATTGTTACCTGGAATATCACTGTTTGGAAGTAAATTATACGTAATTATGAATATCCGATAGCATCTTAAGCATGATGATTGTTAAATAATTAAAAATTCTATTCAGTTGTACCATTAATACAATTTTTGAGCTCAAAGCTTTTTATAATGGTGAAGAGTAATGGAAGTTACTATGAAACATTTTTAGCTTATTTTAAAATGTTTTAAATCATTAACTGGTCCCTCCTCAAATATTTATTTAATTGCAGTTTTCAGTTAGGGAAGTGTCTGGAACAAAGTGTAACTTTTGCTCTGCTTTTATCTCTTATGAGGTTAAATCATTATAGCTCTGACTCTTTCTGTCATTCTTTGCTTTTGTCTCTGTCTCTGTCTCTGTCCTCTGTCTCTGTGTGTGTGTGTGTTTGTGTTGGCTACTTGTGTAGCCCAAGCTGATTGGTGCTTAAAATAGCAACCTTTTCTTGCTTCCTTCACATGCTGCTGAATTTTAAAATATTAAATCAAGCCCTGGCTTCCTATGGTGATCAATTAGCAATAAATAGTAATATTTGTGTATTAGCTGCTGAGTTTGAATATCTGCACCCAAACCTGGTCCCCAGTACTAGCTTCTGGAAAGTTTTCTGCCTGAGGAGTGTTCTTAGGAAGTCATTGTTCTAATGTGTTGATTTACAGTTACCTATCAGAATGAATGTCAGATAGTGTTCTAGATGTGGAGAAAGAATGTTGTCCTTCTTTGTTACGTTTATCCTATGGAAACAACTTGGGTTTCAATTGCTTTTGTTTTCATTAGTAATACTGGACAATGTAGCTTAATATTTAGAAATTTATGTTGTAGGTGTTTCCATGCTAATCTGTTCTGTAGTTCATTTTGTTACATTGCTGTCTTTTGAAGACTTTGCCTGTACTCCAGATGTTGTTCTTTCTTATTAAATAGAGACCAGTGGTACGAAGTAAATTAGAACTAATGAGTGAATAGAAAACAGGAAGAGAAGTAGTATGTAAAGATTATTCCCTACATGTGAGTCTTCTATGAGGTTTGCATGTGTACACCAGACACTTTTTACATCTGAGACCTGTGCATGTATGTGTCATAGTTTGTTATGGTAGCTTTTTTTCTTTTTTTTTTTTTTTTTTTGAAAAAAAGAGAAAACTTGAACCTAAGTATAAAAGTTGGACTGTTTGTGGGGAGAACCAGTGCAAGGGAGCAGGGTAAAATGAGAGGGTGATAGTGGGGTGAATATCTTTGAAAGTACATGATATGTATGCGTGAAAATAAAATAGTGAAACCCATTTTTTAAAACTGCAAAAGAAATAGATTTGAGATTATGTCTGAGCTCTGTTGGGGAATGAGGTATCTTTAGTTATTAAATGTTACGTACATGTGTATTTTTTTCACGTTTGGTAACTGCATTTTGCAAAGAAATTTTATAAATCATACATCCTGTCCATGGAAAACTAATGACATGTAAGATTTGAGTTTACTTAACTGAGAAATCACATTTTGAAATATAATTATTCATATCCTAAATCCAGGAGTAAATGAAAATTGGTATTCTCATTATCTATTGATAAAATAGATAAGTAAAGAATCATTTGAAAATGGTATTTTTAGTCTGTTAGACTGCTACTCTCCTAATTTACTTACTACCCTTGAGCACTAGTAAAGTACATTGCTTAGGACAGCAAGAAGACGAGGAAATAAATTTGAATGTTCTATCGATCCATTGCTGTGAGTGGGCTTTTCCTACCTTGATTTTTAATGAGTTAGAATGAGGGATAATAGAAAGGAAATAAGCCTGCTAGAGTTACTAAAGCTAGAGCTTCTCTAAGATGAATATAAGAATTCTTCAACATTAAGGACCTATGAAAACCCCAGATTTTATGTATGTACACTGGTAATATACATAACAAGCCTCGCTTTGAAAATCAAATTAGATACATGTAAAAAGTACTTGTCTCATAGTTACCATATACTGTTGACTCTAGAAAGAAGACTTGTAAAATAACAGATATTGAGGAAAAAGCCCACAATTTTAAAAATTAATTTATGGAAAAGTCTGAAGAATGCTGTAGTAAAAAACTCAAACAAATCTATTCCCTGTTCACAGAGCTGTCCTCTGTGGTCAGCATCTGCACCCCTCCCTGCAACTTGATATTCTGACCACAGAGGGAAATGATTAAGGGTAGAATTCATGATGACTCTTACAGCCTTTGCTTATGAGTACATATCACTCCCACGCATACTTATTGTCTGTAGAATGGTAAAGCGGACATTTGGGATATAGGATAGTTTCAATAGATTCTTGGGAGCAGTAATATGACCTACAGAAGTTATACTCAGGTATAGCTATCAGCTCAGAGATTGTGAAGGAACTTACTGAAATCTACATTTACCTTATATTTTATAATAAAGGCCATAGCAGGGTTATTAAAGGAGCATGAACTACACCTCAAAATCATTAGGCATAAAAGACTTAATGTTTATAACTTTTTCTTAAATAGTTCAGAAAGAGTGTGTGTGAGTGTGTGTGTGTGTGTGTGTGTGTGTGTGTGTGTGTGTGTGTGTACAGAGAAGAAAAGGTAGGTGGGTATGCATGCATGAATGTATATATATATATGCATGTATACAGCAAATTATTAATCACTGGTTAATCCTAGAATAGAGTGTAGAGTTCTTTGTACTACACTTGCAACTAAGTTCAAAATTAAAATATATGAATAAGGAATCCATTTAAAAGAAAAATCACTTTTTTATCTCTCCTTTTATCTAGGCCTTGTTTTCCCTCCCACCTACCTAGAAAGAAGTTGAAGACCTCAGAATAGGTATATAGGGAATACCCATGGAGTTAGGAGTAGATAAAGGTTGAAGCTGTGCACAACATTCAGGGAGTTCTGTTAAATTCAGGTCGCATCTCTTTTTTAGAGACCTTTGCCAAGGTACCCTGACCTCTGCACCTCGGTTTCTTCCCTCGAGGATAGTAATAGTGCCTTTGTTAATATTTGTAAAGCACCGCAACAGTGCCTAGAGGTAGTTCATATCCTTTCGTTGTCACTGCTGGCATAGCCGTTATTGCTGCAGTTATTGGGGCCAGTCTCCAAGGCAGCTTCTCAAAGGTGACCCTCCACTCCAAATAAAGCACCATGGATTCCGGGAATGGAACTGATAGCCTTAACCAAGTTCCTTAAGATGTTCTTTTCTTCATAGTACGAATTGGTTGGATAATGTTCCGTTTTTGTAGCAGCTAGCTTAGGTGAGGGAATTGGGCTTAGCCTTGAGAGAAAAGTTAATGAAGTTAAACAGTGTGCACTTTGAGAGAAAATGGGTATTTGGGTTGGGCACTGGTGGCTCACGCCTGTAATCCTAGTCAATTAGGAGGCAGAGATAGGAGGATTGCAGTTTGAAGTCAGCCTGGGAAATAGTTTGTGAGACTCTATCTCAAAAACACCCACTACAAGAAAGGGCTGGTGGAGTGGCTCAAGTGGTAGAACAGCTGCCTAGCACACACAGGCCCAGAGTTCAAATTCCAGCACTACAAAAAAATGGGTATTTGGGACATGAATGGGTTTTTTGTGGATGAGGTCAGAATGGAGGGACTGGTGTAGTAGGAAGGAATGAAGTTTTCAAAGACAAATACTGCCTTCTTTAAAATTTTCCCTAAGTCTTGACATGGTACTTAAAAAGGTGACACTTTTTTTATATCTTTAGAATGACAACCTACTAGCCAACATTTAGAAGTTTGTACATTATTTATTCAGAAGCAATAATAGTTTGTTTTTTAAATGCACGTGTTGTTTAGTTTTCATTGACCTGGAGACTAATTTTTTGTTGTTGTTTGAGACAAACAAGGGTTTTCCTGTGTAGTCCAGGGTGGATTTGAATTTGAGTTTCTCTTGTTTCTACCTCAGCAGTGCTGGCATTACAGGCACGTGCCAGTCTGCCTGGCACAAGAGTAACAGTTTTCATTTTGTTTGGTTGACACCCTTTTGTGATGTCCCCAGTTTCAATTCCCTAACATGTCTTTCTTTTGTAGTGCGGTTGTGCTCTGATCGTATCAGCCTCATCAAGGAGTGTATTTCCCAGTCTCCCACATGCTACAAACAATCTGTGAAGCTTCTAGGCCTTGCCGAGTTGCTAAAGGTTGCAGGTAATTCTTTTGAATGCTACGCTGCAGATTGTTTCTGTGTCATTTTTGACATCTGTGTGAACAAAAGAACATCTGTTCATAGGTGCCAAAAGAGCATCTTTTGAGCAAGGATTAGTGTTTTCTAGAAATATTGTTTTATTATAAAAATGTGTGTCTGTATTGAACTTCTAGGATGTCCATCATTCCTTTAAATGATGACAGGCTTATTCACAGTGCAACAAATTTGTTGTGAGATCAGGGGCAGAAGTCAGTGTAGCCATTCAAAACAAGAAAGCAAGCCAGCCTTACCAGTTCACTTTCAGTATGCATATTTGGTTTTATAATTTCAAATCGGAAAAGTGTGTTAGAAAATATTGTGCCTTTGCTATATGGTGAGATTTTCAATAGTTTATCTCATTTAATCTTCTCATAAATGTGCATAGTGATAATCATCTTCCCATTTAAAAAAGGAAATTGAGCTGGGTGCCAGTGGCTCAACCTGTAATCCTAACTACTCAGGAGGCAGAGATCAGATCATAGTTTAAGGCCAGCCCAGACGAATAGTTTGGGAGATTCAATGTCAAAAATACCCAACACAAAAAGGGCTGACAGAATGACTTAAGTGGTAGAGCACCTGCCTAGTAAGCATCAAACCCCAGTACTGTCAAAAACAAAAGGAAATTGAGGATCACAGAAGTTAAATATTTTGCTTAGCAGGGTAAAATAGTAGACTGTAGCTTTCAAGGAGTCTTTTTGGCTCTACATTTTGTCCCCCTTTAGTCACAATGTACTACCTCTTAGAGTTTTTAAATACTTTAAAAACATTTTTTACATATACTGATCTCGAGAAGAGAAATTATTGACTATTTTGGTTCATAAACAACTGATGAAATATGTGTTAGTCTAAACCACATATTATAGACTCAGAAATAAAGGGGATTTGTGTTTCTATATTTAGAGTTTAAAAAGTTGTTCAGTATATTTAGTGGACATACATGCTAATGTTTTAAAATCCTAATATGTAAGTGTCTTATTCTTAAAGTCTCTAGTTTTAGTAAGAGAGTGTGTGTGCATGCATGAGAGAGAGAGACAGAGAGAGAAACAGAGAAACTTTTCTAGTTTGAAGCATAGCATTAGCATCTTTTTCCTTAAACTTGTTAAAAACTTGGAAGGATACAGAGGGCCAGTCACCCATTATAAAAAATCTTAATAACTGGGAAGAACATTGGGTATGGAGTCAGAAAACTTGTTCAAGTCCTGACTGTGCCATACATTTCCTAATTTTCATTTGCTTCAGTTTTTGCATCTAGAAAATAATAAAAGCATTCCTATCAAGGATGGATTTCAGAAGAACCCAGTTCAGAGAAGCTAACAAAGCTCAGAAGCACCATCCACATTTTATCATTTATTTATTTGTTTATTTGATGTTACCTGGGGCCTCACACTTGTCAGGCAGATGCTTTATCACTTGAACCACTCTGCCAGCCCTTTTGCTTTGGTTGCTTTTAAGATAGGGTCTCCTTTTATGCCCTGGCCAGCCTGGACTGCAGTCCTTCTGTTTATGCTAGGATGACAAGTGTGTGCCACTGTACCATCACTGCTTGAGACAGGCCTCAAAAACATATTGCATGGGCTGGCCTCAAACCACGATCATCTTCATTTCAGCCTCCCAAGTAGTAAGGATTATGGGCTTAAGCCACTGTTGCCCAGCATCCATGCACATTTTCTGTGTTCATACTAGGATTGGTTTCCTGTTTTGTTTGTGATACATTGACATAGAAACAGTAGTTTCAGTGGTCCTGACAGTCTTTGTAAAGGTTTAATAGGAAGAGCATCCTCTTTATTTCTCTAGATCACCTCTTTTCCTCACTGCAGTTATTTTAGTTCTACATTTGGGATCATGTGAACTTGACCTCATTCTGTTTCACAAACTTTACTGTGAGATCTATATTGCAGTTTAGTACAGTTTTATTAAAACTAGTATGTACTTTTCATTCAACATGTTTTTTTTTTTTTGGTGAGCCACCTGAGCTCATGTAATAAAAATAACTAATAGGTATCTAACTTAATGCCTTTTACCTCTTAATTAAGTGCTTATCACTCACTGTAACCATAACTTTTTTGGTATGAAGTATGACAATAAAACTAGCATTGACTTCTTTATCCTTCTTCACAGTCTCACAAATTAGACTCATTCTTACCTCAGATCTTCACAACCTTAACAGGTGATTTTTTTTTCTTTTTTATTAGGACACATTTGGTTCTGAATCATTTTCTTTAATAGATTTTGAAACTCCTGGCCATTCTTCCTAAGAATTTTCTTTTCTTGTTTTTAAAAATACTTTGCAGACCTGTTTTTGGCTATATTTTCCTTTTTGCCACATGCTCAGACTAAAGCTTTTCTGAATGACTATTTAACCCATTTTCATATAAAAGCTTGCATCAACAATAATAATTTTCATTTTATGTTTTCATATCTATCTCAGTTCCTTTTTAGGCACCTCATATAGGTAGAGATATGAATGCCATTTTTAAAAGTGAAGAGACAGGGTTAGAGAAGTTAAATAATTTAATTTAAAAATTTTTATTGCCATATTATTGTTGCACTGGGGGTACACTGTGACATTTCCAAAAGTCCTTACACTATATTTTAGTTAAATTCACCTTCTCCCTCATTCTCCTTTATCCCCCTTCTCCCAGTAATTTATTGAGAATTTTGTAGCTGAGAAGTTTGACCTTTAAGCACCTTGCTCTTATCCTGCATTAGTGCTCCTTTAGACATTGTATAATGTTACTCAGTGGCCCTCTGTATTTCATCTCATTTCACTACCATGGGGATTGGCTAATCAAGTATGATATCCACACAGAATAAACAAACCAGAGATCAGGAGCACTGTGGGACCCCACGGCCTGGGCTAAAACTGTTGTTTACCCCACGGTGGACTTCCTCGTTTTTCTGGGAAACCTTAGTATCTGAAAGGCCTTCGCTGTGATTTAGTCAGCCAGACAGAATTATCCAGGATAAACCTTTTCACTTAGCTGATTAAGGATTTATCTTCAAAATACTTCTTGCAAGAAACATCTATATTAGTGTTTGTTACCTAGCCAAGTTGACACATTAAAAAAAATGAACATGGCTTTTTTCATTTTTGATTGAGTGTATTCTGAGTAAATGTGAATGTTTGAAGAGTGTAATGTAGGAAATAGGTTTTATATTAAGTGTGGTATAGCATTAATTACAGAGAAACTTTTACATATTAGTGTTACTAAAACATGAATGTGTTGTTCTAATAACAGTAAGGTTATGAGTTTATCTCTTTTTCCCACTTCCCCTCTCGTGGGTCTTTTTTTTTTTTGTTTTTAAAAAGACAGGGTCTTGCTATTATAGCCTAGGCTGGCTTTGAACTCCTGATCTTGCCCCACCCTCTCAAGTGGGTGCACATCACACTCGGCCATCATCTCTTTTTAAGGAATCTTTTTAGGCTATATTGAGCCAATACTTAGCCTTATATTTCTTTTAAGTCAGTGAAGCACAGAAAGAAGACTGATTGGGACATAGTCTAAAATTTTACTCAGCCCTTTCTGTGACATGTTTACATTTTCTTTTAGACCATTTTATAGCTCAGAAATTCAGAGGCCATGAACATTGTTTTTCTGGAAAAATTGAAAATATTTTGAGGGATTTGTTACTTCCTAAAAATATAAAACTTTTAAAACTTGTGTTCTTTTATCAAAGTTACCTAAGTAAATATCCAAATTATTGTACTGAATAATAATAATATTACTGAAGGTTTGTACTGAAACCTTGAATTATTTACCTTTTAATTGAAAATTGCATTCTGAATAGAATCTACAGACATTTAGTTGATGCTATACTTTTTAAAACTCCTGTTCTGTGCACAGTTTGCTGAGGGACGCTCGATAATGAATCAATCCCTGTCCTCAAAGAGCTTCAATTCTGAACGAGGATATAGATTACCTAAAAGGTAATCACTATACATTGGTTTTAAGAGAGTAAAAAGTAAGGGAACATGGGGGAGGCAGCAAAAGCCTTGTGTTTTATGTGAATATTGTTGAAGTTTCAGAAACCACATCCCAAAGTATGATGCTTTGAAATACTGATTAGGTTACCATGAGAAACAGAATGCAAATGGATCCTTAGAGAGTGAGGATCCCTCATCTTGCCAATCTAGGAAAGATATCTCACAGAGAAAAAGGCAAAATACCTTGCCCAAAGAGTCTTGAGCTTAGGGCCACTGTCTGAGTGCTACTACCTGAGAGATTTCATGTGCACAAGAGTAACTTCTTTACCATGAATTTCTTGCCCTTGCCCTCCCAGAATGCATTGTCACTTCCCCTAAGGTGGTCCTAGCTCCTGGTTCTTTCTGTAGCTCATGGCACTATAAATACTTCAGTGAAAGCTGGGTATGGTAGTGTATAACTCTAATCCTAGCTTCAGTAGTTGAGGCAGAAGCAACATAGGTTTGAGGCCAACCAAGGCTACATAGTGAGATCCTGTCTCCACAAAACAAAGTAAAACAAAACCTGACTTTAATCATCTGGCTTTTCTTTGAGTCTCATATTTTATGAGTCTTGTGCATATTCATGTGATTAAAAATTGTTTTTCTGGGTGTTGGTGGCGTAGCTCAAGTGGTAGAGTGCCTGCCTAGCAAGCATGAGGCCCTGAGTTCAAACAGCAGTGCTGCCAAAAAAAAAAAAAAGAAAGAAAAATTGTTTTTCTCCTTTTAATCTTTCTACTGTCAATTTATTCCAGATACTCAAATTATTGAATCTTCAAAGAGTAGAGGGAAAGCTTAAAATTCTTCTCAAGCAATAGAGATGTTGAAGAATGAAGTGAAATCTAAGCTGACCTCTAAGAATATTCTTGAGAAAGTAATTTAGAATCTTTATGTGAATGTGAGCTGAATTTCAGTGTCTGTTCTTAGACTGTACACACTATGACACACAAAAATTTATACTACCAGTGAAACTATGTTAGTCAGCTTTGCACTGCTGTAACAAAACACCTGAGATAATCCAAAAGAAAAAACTTACTTTGGCTTCAGTCCTCCGTCAGTTGGGTGCATTGTTCTTAGGCCTGTGTGCAGTAGAACATCATGGCTGGAGCTTGTGGCTGCTCCTTTCATGGCAGCCAAGAAGCAAAGAGTAGGAGAAGAAACGGCAGGGGTCCCCTATCCCCTCATGCGCTCATGTGACTGGAAGACTTCCAACTTGCCCCACCTCTTAAAGAGGCCACCGCCTTGCAATAGCACCATGAGCTGGGGACCAAGCTTTAAAACATGGGCCTTGGGGAATACTTCCTCAGACCTTAACACTGTGCTGTTGTGCATACTTTACTTTGTGTGAAAGGTTCCACCCCCCATATTTGTCACTTAGTACGACTAGAAAAAGAATATTCAAAGGGAAAAGGCAATAAAATAAAATTCAAAGTCCCTGTTGGGAGGGTGTCTTTACCCATGTAGTTTCAAATGGTTAGTTGGGGAACCTTGAAATTAATGGAAAGCAGGAAGATTAATAGGAAAAAATGAGATTTTTTTTATGCATACATGCAGAAGTCAGTCATGAGTAGTTCTCAGAAAGACTGGAAGTAAAGGTGTAACAAAATGCCAGTGAGGTGGGAGTGGAAGGTTCTTTTGGACTTTTCCATGCTTCTGGGAATGGCACTCAGTCTATGGCAGCTGAATTCCCTCCTGGGAATTCAATTTAAAACCCCTTGGAGGGCTTTTAAAATAACAGTTGTGGTTTAGGGAGACTGTTTTAGTCAGATAAGGCAAATTCAGATAAGACTGCTTTCTGCTTCTTTTCTAGCTCAATTTTTTTTCACTTTTAAATAAGCTTTATGTCAAAACTATGATCCTTTCATTTTGAAATTCTTAGATATGACACTAGTTTGGACCATTGTCTTAAATGAAATATTGATGGATTTTTAAAAAAATTATTCATATTATAGTAGATCAGTTTTTATTTGAGAAGAAAAATGTACCATCCCAAAATATATTTATAGGCTACTGTGATAAACCACCTCAGAATATGCCTCTTTGGTAAAGAATTATTTTATGCTAATTATTTTGAGAAACTACAGACATAGGAGAAGCTCTGCAGAGGAGAAATAACTTTTTGTCCAGTCATACTTATTAGTATTCCCTCTCTCTGTTAGGAAGAGGAGGACTATGGATCATTAAAGACTTAGCACTGGAGAAGGTACCAACTTGCCTAACAAACATTTCCCTTGCTTGCCATGCTTCCAGGGCACCTCCATGTTACTGGCTTCCCCCACACTTTTCTTTCTTTCTTTCAATATTCTATGGTATTTTAAAGCTACTTCTTTGAGATATATCTACTTTTCTTTGCTGGCTCTCTCTCTCTCTCTCTCTCTCTCTCTCTCTCTCTCTCTTTATGTGTGTGTGTATTTTAGAAGTCTGTGTTATTAAACTTATGTGTGTTTTTTCTCGTTAACTGTCTTTTGTTACAGGGGTCCTCCCAACCAAGAGACATGAAAGATAGATAGGATAGTTTGTTTTTCCTTTTCTAAGTAAACAAATAGTTTATAGGAAATAGTATTAACCAATAGCAAGATATTTTAGTACTAATTTATAATATGTTGAAAGTAAGAAGATTTATCATTCCTTGTTTATTGTTACTTTTTTTCTTTCTGTTATCCTTTTATGAGGAAAAAAAGGCAAAACTTACTGTGTAATACAGGGAGTGTTTGGGATTGTGTAATAATGTCATAGGGATTCTGTTTACATGGGTAAAGTAACACGTGGGTTTTGTTCTTATTTTTTTAAGTGGGATTCTTTACAAATTTGCATTTCAGCATTGTCTAGGGGTCATGCTAATTTCCTCTTTATCTTTCCAGTTTTACTGTCTGTGCTGCTTAAGGAAGCACAGATTTAAGATAATATAAAATTTATTTTATTGCCTTTCTTGATATATACATCCATGTGTATCATTGACATCTGTGGATTCTCTTAAAAAACTAGTTCTTGACACTTGTTAAAACAGTCAAGGAGAGTACTCCAGACTTTTGCTACAGGGGTAGGGACTCTACTGCAATGAACTTTTGCTGTAGTTGAAAGAGATTGTGGGTTTGTTAAAATATCAACTTAGGCACATTAACATTTTAATAAGTTTAATTATAACAGACAGCAGTTCATGAATCAGATAGCATCAAACCTGGAATGGTTCAGGGCTCTGCCAAGTCAATGCAAGAAGAAAACCTTTGTAATGTGTTTGAGGAAGCAAGACCAAATATATCCTTTAAGTATATATGTATATATATGTATATTTATATAAATAAATTTATAGATACATGTATTTATAAATATTAAAAATATACATGGAAAGACTAGTAGAGTTTAACGAGCAGTTTTTGATTGAGTCTTAGACTAGAGGCTCACTTTTGGAGGTACCAACAAGTCAGGTCTGTTTGCTCAGCTAAAACCAAATGGAAAAAGTAATGATGAAAAACAGGAAAGGAACTTTAATTACTATAATCATGCTAGGAAGAAAAGGGGTTCAGTGTCCTTAGTGTTGCCTTTTGGGTACTGACAAGAGCTCCCTTACTATATAGTGAAGGGGCAGAATGGGGCCCAGCTACAAGAAGCACGCCATAATCACTGTCAAACTGTGGTCTGGCTGATCACTATCTCAGGACTGGTCAGCAGGGGCTTTGTCACATAAGAATGTGAGGGGCGATGAGTTTATTTTCTCTTGTGTCATAAGTTGTTTATCCATCGGGTCTTTTGTTTCTGGAATCCAGAGTGACTGCAGGAGACATTGAATCAGAGCAAAGGAGGCAGGTACAAAATGGAAGCAGTGATGTCAAGTTTTTATCCTGCTTTTAGTTACCCATTAGACATTTGCGGGCCCAAGTGAAAGTCAATGCTTTTAGAAAAAGCAGCCACTAACTCCTTGTTAGATTTAGTAGTAGGTATTTGGTGGTTTCCAATCGGTAAGCTTAAGATTTTTTTTTTCAATTTTTTTAAGCACTTTGTACTTACACATTTATTTCTCAAACATTTTCTTCAAACAGAAGGAATGTATTCTACATTTTTATAAAGATGAATTCAAAATGAAAACCCTCTAGCATAGTATGTGTAATCACTGTGACCTTGGTCACTATTGATGCTTACTATTCAACAACAAAAAGTAAGTCAAGTTATTTAGAAGTTATGCTACTGGATTTCTAGCTATTCTTTACTGATCTGTGGTGCTTAAAAGTTTGTATTACTAAATCAAAGCAAGTTTAAGATGTAAAACAAAGTTAAAAAGTAAAAATTTAAGGTACAGTTAAGTTCCTAGTGAATATAGGTTTTGTTTTGGTTTTTGGCTTTTTGAAATGTGTTGACTATAGATCCATGAAACTGTACTATGTCTATTGAGTTGGGTTTCAGTTTGTATAAGTAGAATCTCAAGGTGCTGTAGCTGTGCCTAACAGCCTCCATATAAGCTCACCTATAAATATAACAAGGAAAAGTGGGGAGGAGAGGAATGGATAATTACTAAGCAGTCTCATAGGGGCAAACAGACCTAACAGGATACAGAATTCTTGAAGGCAGGCCAGGGTGGTCAGATTTTGCCTTGGGGAGATAAGGAAATTGGTTAGATTCCAGAGGTAAAGATGTTCGCTAAAATATCAGCATGGAGAACAAGCACAGCGATGGCCTAGCAAGGCTAGAGAGTCATTGTCAGTGCCCCAAATCACACATAGATTCTAGGTTCTAAATATTAGTTGACTTTATTTTAATCCTTTTTTTTTTTTTAAGGTAGGATCTCACTATGTGGCTCAGGCTGGCCCTGAACTCATGATCCTCCTACCTCAGCCTCCGAAGTGCTGTGACTGCAGCACTTAGTAGTTGGATTTTTAAAAATGAGAAATATTCCTATTTCATTATCTTTATATACTCACTTGATCTACTGGTCACTATTACAACCTGGTTTCTTTTGAAGCATGTATTTCTTCTCTTTCCGTTAGTAGGAGAAAGACTAAAACTTCCATGTAAGGCTGTTGGCCCCTTTGGTTTGGATTTTTTGGTTTGGGTATTTTAATTAGGAACTGATATTAATCATTGATCGCTTCAGAGACTGAAGGCTACTTCATGCACAATAAGTAGGTTGATAGGTCAAAATTACTATACCCTTTTGTCCTCTAACCATTTAAAATCAGTCCAAACTGTTTTGTTTTTGTATTAATTTGAAAGATGTGTTAATGAGCTGTAATTAATTGATACTGCCATAATCAAATTAGGTCATTTGCATGTGACCTGTGCTTATAGGGGAAGACCCAGAAGAAAGGCGTGGACAGGTTCTAATCCTTTTAGTGGAACAAGCACTTCGTTTCCATGACTACAAAGCAGCCAATGTGCATTGTCAAGAGCTGATGGCCGCAGGTGAGTGGACAACACTTTGCTCATGTCCTGTTGCATGATGGATCATGGAAAAGGTTTGTTCTGAAATAAGTTGACCTGATTGGTAAGCCAGCCACATTTTGGCTTGAGATACATTTTATTAGCACTGACAAGTATGAATACTGTGCTCTTATATATAAATATTTATATTTTGAAGGACTCAAATTTTATGTTAACTGAGATTTTCACTGCTTTCCATTCTTATTTAAAATATGCTCATAATTTTAAGAACACTTTATGTAAAACTTTTTAATGCTTCTTCATAAATTTGGTAAAGAAAATGAAAATCTGTAGTATTGACAATTTGTGTCTATATAGTCAATATTTTTGTTCTTTAATTTGGAAAAAGAAAGTGCTTTTCAACTCATGTTTTAAAATTGCGATCTAGTGGAAGGGGTGAACTCAAGTATGATATATCTGATATGTTGTAAGAACTCTTATAAATTCCACAGTGTATCCCTACTCAGCACAATAGTAAAGAAAATTGGAATCTAGTTTGTAACCTTAACATTTTTCATATTGAAATTCAAAATCTTGTCTCTGGAGGACAAGCAGATTCCATTGTGGAATAATTGCTCATCTGAAGAACACATTTCTCAGTGGAAGAGGAAGTGATATGATCTTATCATGGGCTCTGTACCTATGCCTGAACACTGCATGGGAAAGCCCACTGTCTGTACCTTAGTAGGGAGTAGTTAAAACACAGTGCTTTACTTCATGATCAGTCATGGAACTATGCACTAACGATACTTTTTTGTTGTTGTTTGGTGCTGGGGTTGAATCTAGGGCCTCATGTAAACTAGATAAGCACTCTACTCTACCATTAAGCTATATACCCAGTTAGATTTATGCACTTTTTGTATGTCTTCTATTAATGAAAAAATTTTTCTAACATTTGTTATAAACAGTAAGAAAGACTTTATTCAAGACAGTCGTGTTAGGTGTTAAGGGTATCACAATAGGGGAGAGAGATTAGACTCAATCCTAACAATATGGACAGGTGGGCATTATGGGTGGTGAACAAACTGAGATGAGTGGATGGAAAATTACTAAGGAGAGATGTCAAGTGTAGGGAGATTCTTGCTAAATTAATTTAATAAAACCCTTCCTGAAGGCAGGCCAAGGTAACTAGATATCAAGGGGGACAGATGAAGAATTTGATCAGATAATGAGGATGAAGAAATCCTAACCCAACTGACTGAAGCAAAATTCTTGTTAAAATGGAAGTTCTCAGGCCCAGTAAGAGGTTGAGGCCTAGCTGAGAAGTGGCGTACAGGAATATGACTAAATTTGGTGAGGGAGGCAATCTTGGGCAATACATTTATGGAAATGTTTAAAACTCTGAGAAAAGCCCAGTGTAGTAGTTCACAACCTCAACCCTAGAAAACTGGTTTCATAAAAGAACTTCATTCTCTAACATTAACAAAGTGATTTTGCAATATGAAGTTCAGAAGAATGTATTCTGTACAAATTCTGGGATTTTTAGTTCATTCTTTTTTTATTATTTTATTACAGTACTAGGGGTACATTGTGACACTTTACAAAAGTTCGTACAATATCTCATAGTTGAATTCACTTCCTCTATCATTCTCCTTTATCCTCCCCCTGCTCCTCCTGAAATAGTTTCAACAGGTCTCATTTTTCCATTTTTTTACATGAGTACAAATTATTTCCATTACATTCACCCTCATACACCTTTTACTTATATCCTCTCCCGTCGCACTGGTACCAACCCCCAGACAGGACCTTTACCTTCATAGTCTCTGTTTTTGAAAACAGGTATTTTTATTTGTTTAAGACACCTATACATTATCAACTCCAAATTGTTTACTTATAGAGCTTTGGAGTAATTTTAGTCCTATAAAGGTAGTTCCTAAACTAATTTTTTGCTTTATACATTTAGAAAAATTATCTGGACCGAGTCCTTTGCTCTTAGGAAAAAAGCCCTACTTTAAAACTGGAATTCCTTCTAGTAAGAATACAAGCATATTTTAAGAACTCAGAGTATAATGTTGTATAGGATAAAGATCTCTGCTGGGAATTGGGGACCTTGGATATCCATCTTCTATAAAGTGAGTGATTCTATGTGGGCATCTATCTTAATGTCTCTTTCTCTAGCACTTTGCAGTTTCTAATGTGCTTTTAAATACAAATGTCTTTCAACAGCCCATGAGCAAGTGGCTTATTATTGCCTCTTTGTAGCAGCATAGGAAGTGTGCTATTGAACTTTTTGCAAGGTCACAGGAGTGTTAAATAGTTGGGTTGAGTCATTCCTGCAGTATTCTGAATTCAGATTTTTAAACTCAGTATCAAAGCTCATAGGAATAGATTATTCCTATTCATTTTCAATTATTCTGAAAATTAAATGTTGGTGAGAAACATCTGGAGTAGCACTGAACTTTCTAGATAATAAACCAACTCATCTTCCTTTTCTAACATAGGATCTTTAAGCATTTCTATATATCATTTCACTAATGACTACAGTTTCCTTTGGTACAAGACCTGAGTAAGAATCCATTGTATTTATTCTTCATCTTCAACTGGGTATAAGTCTTTCTTCAGGAACTCATTGTTTTCTTGCCAATTTTGCAGGTTATCCTAAAAGTTGGGATGTTTGTAGCCAGTTAGGACAATCAGAAGGTTACCAGGACTTGGCCACCCGTCAGGAGCTCCTGGCTTTTGCTTTGACACATTGCCCTCCTAGCAGCATTGAAGTTCTTGTGGCTGCTAGCAACTCTCTGCAGGCAGAAGTGAGTGCTGTCAGATAAAACAAATCCTGGTCCACGTCTCGTGCTTTCTGCTGGGTGTGTGCATTGAAGATGTATGGTCATTTTGTTTTAGTAATATGAAAGTTCTAATTTTCAACTATAGAAGAAAAATAGATTGTCACTTGGAAAAGGATTTGAAAATATGAAAATGTTAAATGGTACTTTGACTTTAATATAGTAAGGAAGAAAGGGTACAAGACAGGCTTGAGAAAAACTGAAAGTAATATTAGAATAAATTGCTGAATTTGAAGGGGAAAGTTAGGTTTGTCAAGAGTAAAATTTCCCATAGGAAATGGTCATGTGAAATGTCTCTGGAACCACGTGAGTTGAAGCAAGTGGGGTCCTTTGGAAACTGAGGGTGGCAGTGAGCCTTGGTTGGGGAGATGCTGAAGTTCCTACAGTTCACAGGCCAGATCTGCACAGGGGAGGAATGCTCATGGATTGGATTTACATGCTCATCTGTAGTCATTTACTATATTGTCTGCCAGGTTTTTTACATTTAAGACCCTCTCCTGAAACTGTCGCTTCCTGGTGAAGCTTTCGTGGAGTCCTAAAGTAAGCCTGTTGCCAAAGGCAATTTCATAATTTCGTTATGAAATTGCAGATTTTTTTCAAAAAGAGAAAAGAATATTTTTTTTCAATTTTCAGCCTATGTTGAGAAGAGAGGCAAATTAAAAACTTCAATTCTTTTGTAATTTAGCCTCTTCTTGTTTCAGATTCTTTATCAAAGAGTAAATTTCCAGATCCATACTGAAGGAGAAAACGTCAGTGTTTCACCAATAATAAACAAAGCCCTACAGGAGGTAAGCTGAAATGGAATTTGAAAGGTGACTGAGTGGAATGAAATGGGATGGATCACCTAACCTCATCTGTATGTGTGTACAAGTCTCTTTTGAGCAGTATGTGTGTGTATGTATGTGAAATCTAGCATTCATATAGAAAAATACACAAGACAACAATGTCTAGCTGAACCCACCATTGAAAAACCCACAGCCACCATGCAGACAAAAACATAGCACATGGCCAGCCTTCCACAGTGTTCCCTTAGCCTTGCCTCACTGGACTTCTGTTCTGACTAATGCTGGCAATTCATCCTTGTGATTTATATTCTTTTAAGTAATTTTAATACTACCAGCCCACACCTTAATACAATAGTTTAACTTTACCTGTTTTTGTACTTCATAGTAATAATCACACACGATATTATGTTTGAGATTCAGTCATGCTATTATATGTAACCGTAGCATATTCATTTTTATTGCTATGTACAATTAATTGCTATATGTGTATATTGCAATTTTGTACTCTAATGTTGATTGACATTAATCATTGTTTTCAATTTTAGCTACTAAAAATCATCATTTTGTACTTGTCTCCAGTGCCCTGTGTGTATACTTCTCTTGGGCATATCCCAGCACTCGAGGTGTGCACTGTCAAGCAGGTGTGCACCTAGCCTAAGTAGATAATGCCAATGATTTCCCCAAGTTTTTTAAACTGATTTTACTTTGAGTAACAGTGTATGGGACTGCAATTAACTAATCCAGTATCTCAGTGTTGTTACTTTCCTAAATTTTACATAGTCTCTAAGCATTGAGTGATTTCTAGTTATAGTTTTGTTTCTCATTTTTTCTGATTGCTAGTAAGATCGCTCAGGAGAGATTCTTTTGTGAGGTACCTGTTCAGTTTTCTTGCTCATTTTCTTATTGGATTTTTGTTGTTTCTATTTTCTTTGTAGCGATTCTTACAGAGAAAATTTATCTGAACCAATTAAGTGTGTGTATATATATATCTTATATATGTCTGTATATATATCTCATGGTACCCTGAGAGAGAAAGGGGGAAGAACACACCCCCTGACATGTTTTCTGTTGAGGAACTCTGTTTCATGCGGCTTAACTTTTCATAACTATTTCTAGAAACATGGTCTTGGCATTTTTTAGAGATTAAAGACTATAGCTCAGTTTCTGACATTCTAACTAGATAAATTAAGAAGCGGTGGCTCTCTGCAGAGACCCCTCCCCCATCCACAGAATTCCATCAAGTGATCATCTTCATCTTCACAGTGCAGTCATTTCTCTAACACCTGCCTTGGAATACATATAGTGTGAGGTGCATCTAACCATTTTTCTTTTTTGATTGGCTATAGCCGTTTTGACAAACTCATTACTATATATGCTGTATAGTACTTTTTAAAAAAGTGGTACTGTAATTTGAACTCAAGACTTCAAGCTTGCTAGACACGTGCTCTACTGTGTTAGACATACCCCCAGTCCTTTTTGCTCTGGTTATTTTTGAGATAGGGTCTCGGTTTTTTTTTTTTTGTTCAGGCTGGCCTGAACTTAGTTCCTCTTATTTTATGCTTCCCATCATTGCTGTGATGTTCATACCCAGCTTTTTTTGTTGAGATGGGACCTGAAGAACTTCTTTTTTGTCTGGTCTGACCTGAAACTCTGATCCTCCTGAGCTCATCCTCCTAACATAGCTGGGATGACAGGTGTGCCCCACCACACCCAGTCATTGGTTGAGATGTAGGTCTTGAAAAGCTTTCCCTCCACCCAGAGTGGCTTCACACCAAGATCCACCTGATCTCATCCTCCCGAATAGCTATAGTTTGCAGGATTGAGCCATCTTGCCTGGCTATATAGTGCTTTTAGTGCTCTGGTACAAAGCTTCAGTTGTGGACTCTACTCATAGAGTTACTTAAGTTTTGCCATAGTGGCAAAGAGGTACCTATACTTCTTTCTTTTATGTTAGAATTTAATTAGTTAAATGTATTGAATACATGTATGTATTCTCAGTTCAGTGCTAAGTGATCTGAGGATTTCAGAGACGTTTGTGGTGTGACTTTTTGCCCATATGGAGTCTGTGCCTATTCTTCCTGTAGTGGTTACTTCAGGGAAGCAGTGACCCACAGAACTTTCCTCAGTGAGAGAAGTCTATACCTGCACTGCCCAGTGTGGTAGCCACTGGTCATGTGTAACTATCGCACACTAGAAACTTGGCTAGTGAGATATTAAAATAGCCACATAAGGTTACTGGCAACCAGGATGGGTATCATAGCTCTACATAATTGGGCATCCAGCAGAGTATGTGCTTAGTGACCAGCAATGTAAACAGTTGACTTTCTTTTGTTGTACTCACTCCCTATGGAAATGGTAGCATTTTTCCAGGGACCTGCACTGGTGTGAATACATTTCAGCCTTAGACATGCTTTGGCGGATTAGTAAATATTTGGCTTTCCCTCACTGGGTGTGAAAACACAGTAAGTTCTATGATGTTTTCTCCATAGGATTCAGAGCAGTTCTTATAATAGCCAGCGATCACTAAGTGTTCTATGTATTAGAAGGAGGTGTCTTTCAGGGTCCAGTTGAAGATACACTTTTCATGAGATTTTAAGACTTGTATCTTTTGAACTTCTGATCCACACTCTCCCCACACACTTTTCCAGGCCCGTTTCCTACTCTGAATGTCTCTCTGTCAGCATCTTTTGTGCTTTTCAAGCACAGGTTCCAGTAATGGTAAACTCTTCACCATTCCCTGGTTAGGTTTTTTCACATCTTTGGTGTTACTTAGTTAGAGTTCTCTGTCTCCCTGTGCTAATCATTATGCAGTGAGTGGGTGTTTCCAACTAAGCTTATCAAACATGTACTAGACATTCTTTGTATGACAAGTACTCTGTGAAGAGAGTACAATGATAAATGACATACTTTCAGTTAGCATACAATACCAAACCATACCACAAAGGGCTGACACAAAATTATGGGGGAATACTTATGGAATATAGAAGAGGGAAAAATTAGAAGACTCATGGAAGATATTAGGAAGAAAATCCTTTGCATCAAAGGGTTAAAATTCAAAGCACAGACAAGAAATAAAAAATAAATTAGGATGTAGAGTTTAGCCTAAGAATAAAGAATTTCCAGTTTAATTCATTAAATGTGTTGTGGCTATTGAGGTCCTATTATGTTTTGGTTATTGTTAGGGACATATCCATATAGAATTCCACCATCTTTATTCTGAACTCAGCATCATGAGCTTATTTTGAATCCCCGTCCTTCTTCATAAAATCCATGAAAATCCTTTTGTGACATTTGGGCTTCCTTTTTTCTGCTATTACAATGAATTACAAAGTGTCAGCCTGGTCCCTGGGGTGACTTCTTTGGTACAGGCTGTGCTGTATTACTGCAAGTATGCACATATTGCTCTATTAAAGTCTCCTCAGTAAATGAAGACAACCACCAGCAGTCCCCTACATGGCCCACTTAGAAAGGAAAAGAATTCTTCCAGAATGAATTTTTTTTTTTCTCCTTAAAAGCTGTTCTGACTTCCTTTGCCCTCTTTCAGCAAGTTGTAGTAGATCTAGATCTCATGAAGTGCTAATCCAAACCCTCAATGAACATATTATGGCTTTGATTCATGGAGCACATTGCAGAATGTTAGAGCTATTTTCCTTAGACTAAAATGCAGTGCTTAGCTCTAAGACGCCATGTATTACACATTAACAGTAGCTATAATAACCACATTACATTATAACTCATAAACGAGAGCTGACTTGATGTCTAATCTTCTTCATACTTAAGACTTTCATTACTTCAGTTGTGAAATGATTTTTATTTATATATTAAGCAAAATAAAGATACAATTATTATGCAGCAGCATTTGCATTATTATAAGTAGATACTACAAATTTGAAGATAATGTTTTTGTCCCTCTGAATCAAGATATTTGTTTGTATATAGAAAAATGCAGACTTTATGAGTAACTACAAAATTACAGATTTCAGTTTTCTTATAAATGTTGGTTATTATGCCTTTTAGAGTATATTAACATTTTATTTAGCTAGTATTAGTTGTATCAGTTAGCCAATGGTGTTCTCCCCAGATAACTCTAATTAGGGTTCCCATTAAAAAATCATTTTCACTGTGAGAAAACTTGTCATGAACATTTTAAGCAACTCTAGATTTATATGATTGGGCTAATTAATGTTTAGAACTTGAGCATAGTCTAAGAAGAAAGCTATTTTGAACTTATAGGAGGAATTTTTGAAATATTTAAGTAAAAGTGAGCAAAATGGCGGTTGTCTCAGTATCACAATCAGCATCTTCCTTTTCCATTCTTTGGTTGATGGACACTTGGATTGTTTCCATTTCTCAGCTATTATGGTAATGCTGTTCAGAACATTAATGTCAACCTTTGCACAGAAATATGTTTTCAATTCTGACACAGATACCTTGGAGTAGAATCTCTGCATTGTATGGCATGTTTATGTTAACATTTGAAGAAACTACCAGTCTGTTTTCAAAGTGGCTGCCTATTTGTGTTAGCTTTTCATCACTGTGATAAATTATCTGCAAAAAAACAACTTAAAAGGAGGAATGATTTATTTTAGCTCATGGACCTACAGGTTTCAGTCCATGGTCACCTGGCTCTGTTGCTTCTGGGAGAGGAAGAGGCTCACAGTGAGGAGTGTGTGGTTGGACAAAGTGACTCCCCTCATGGCAGATGCTGGCAGAGACTGAGAAAGGGGCCCAGGACAGTACATAGCCCCAGGACCATGCCTTTGTGACTTACTTCCTCCAGTGGGCCTCACCTCCAAAAGTTTTCAGAGCCTTTCCACAATGCCATCAAATTAAGAACCTATCAGTGGACTAATCCATTGATGACGGCAGAGTCCTTGTGGGTTCTTCTTGAAAGACCCACCTCTGAACCTTGCGCTGGAGACCAGACTTTTCGTACATCAGCCTTTTGGGAGAATAGGTTCTTATCACTTAAGGTCTTCCTTTTTCACATCTTCCCTAATACT